ATCGTGTGCAAAATTGCAAGAACAAGGGTCTAGCGTGTGCAAAATAGCAAGAACAAGGGCCTAGCGTGTGCAAAATAGCAAGAAGAAGGGCCTAGCGTGTGCAAAATAGCAAGAACAAGGGCCTAGCGTGTGCAAAACAGCAAGAACAAGGGCCTAGCGTGTGCAAAATAGCAAGAACAAGGGCATAGCGTGTGCAAAATTGCAAGAACAAGGGCCTAGCGTGTGCAAAATAGCAAGAACAAGGGCCTAGCGTGTGCAAAATTGCAAGAATAAGGGCCTAGCGTGTGCAAAATTGCAAGAACAAGGGCCTAGCGTGTGCAAAATTGCAAGAACAAGGGCCTAGCGTGTGCAACATAGCAAGAACAAGGGCCTAGCGTATGCAAAACAGCAAGAACAAAGGCCTAGCGTGTGCAAAATTGCAAGAACAAGGGCCTAGCGTGTGCAAAATTGCAAGAACAAGTGCCTAGCGTGTGCAAAATTGCAAGAACAAGGGCCTAGCGTCTGCAAAATTGCAAGAACAAGGGCCTAGCGTGTGCAAAATTGCAAGAACAAGGGCCTAGCGTCTGCAAAATTGCAAGAACAAGGGCCTAGCGTGTGCAAAATTGCAAGAACAAGGGCCTGGCGTGTGCAAAATTGCAAGAACAAGGGCCTAGCGTGTGCAAAATTGCAAGAAGAAGGGCCTAGCGTGTGCAAAATTGCAAGAACAAGGGCCTAGCGTGTGCAAAATTGCAAGAACAAGGGCCTATCGTCTGCAAAGTTGCAAGAACAAGGGTCTAGCGTGTGCAAAATTGCAAGAACAAGGGCCTAGCGTCTGCAAAGTTGCAAGAACAAGGGCCTAGCGTGTGCAAAATTGCAAGAACAAGGGCCTAGCGTGTGCAAAAATGCAAGAACAAGGGCCTAGCGTGTGCAAAATTGCAAGAACAAGGGTCTAGCGTGTGCAAAATAGCAAGAACAAGGGCCTAGCGTGTGCAAAATAGCAAGAACAAGGGCCTAGCGTGTGCAAAATTGCAATAACAATTGTCTAGCGTGTGCAAAATTGCAAGAACAAGGGCCTAGCGTGTGCAAAATTGCAAGAACAAGGGTCGAGCCTGTGCAAAATTGCAAGAACAAGGGTCTAGCGTGTGCAAAAATGCAAGAACAAGGGCCTAGCGTGTGCAAAATTGCAAGAACAAGGGTCTAGCGTGTGCAAAATAGCAAGAACAAGGGCCTAGCGTGTGCAAAATTGCAAGAACAAGGGCCTAGCGTGTGCAAAATTGCAATAACAAGGGTGTAGCGTGTGCAAAATTGCAAGAACAAGGGCCTAGCGTGTGCAAAATTGCAAGAACAAGGGTCTAGCCTGTGCAAAATTGCAAGAACAAGGGCCTAGCGTGTTCAAAATTGCAAGAACAAGGGTCTAGCGTGTGCAAAATAGCAAGAACAAGGGCCTAGCGTGTGCAAAATTGCAAGAACAAGGGCCTAGCGTGGGAGGGTCGCAAGAATCATCGGTTATCGGCACTCGCAAATGAAGAGCGCCCGCTGCACTTCCTGCACATGTGCGGATCCTTCCGCGTTTTGGGGGTGGAAGAGCTCGTTCCGAGCGTTTTCCTTCCGCCGAGTCAAGTGGCTGCACTTGTCTAGTCCTATTACCAAGCCAGCACGGGCGTGGGAGGGTTGCAAGCATCAACGGTCATCGGCGCTCGCGAATGAAGAGCGCCCGCTGCACTTCCTGCAGATGTGCGGATCCTTCCGCATTTTGGGGGTGGAAGCGCTCGTTCCGAGTGTTTTCCTTCCGCCGCGTCACGTAGCTGCGCTTGTCTGGTCCTATTACCAAGCCAGCAAGGGCGTGGGAGGGTCGCAAGCATCATCGATGATCGGCGCTCACGAATAAGAGCGCCCTATGCACTTCCTGCACATGTGCGGGTCCTTCCGCGTTTTTGGGGTGGAAGCGCTCGTTCGGAGTTTTTTTCTTCCGCCGGGTCAAGTGGCTGCGCTTGTCTGGTCCTATTACCAAGCCACCAAAGGCGTGGGAGGGTCGCAGACATCATCGGTCATCGGTGCTCGCGAATGAAGAGCGCCCAGTGCACTCCGTGCACATGTGCGGATCCCTTTCGCGTTCGGGGCTAGAAGCGCACGTTGCGAGCGTTTGTCTTCCACCAGGTCACATCGCTGTGCTTCTTTGGGCCTATTACCAAGCCAGAAAGTGCGTGGGAGGGTAGCGAGCATCATCAGTCATCGGTGCTCGTGAATGAAAAGCGCCCGCTGCACTCCCTGCACATGTGCGGATCTCTTTCGCGTTTGGGGCTAGAAGCGCACGTTCCGAGCGTTTGTCTTCCGCCAGGTCATATTGTTGTGCTTCTTTGGGCCTATTACCAAGCCAGCAAGTGCGTGGGAGGGTAGCGAGCATCATCGTTCATCCGTGCTCGCGAATGAAGAGCGCCCGCTGCACTCCCTGCACATGTGCGGATCCTTCCGCGTTTTGGGGCTGGAAGCGCTTGTTCCGAGCATTTTTCTTCCGCTGGGTCATTTGGTTGCGCTTGTTTGGGCCCATTACCAAGCCAGCAAGGGTGTGGGATGGTTGCGAGCATCATTGGTGATCGGCGCTCGCAAATGAAGAGCGCGCGCTGCTCTTCCTGCACATGTGCGGATCCTTCCGCGTTTTAGGGATGGAAGCGCTCGTTCTGAGCGTTTTTGCTCCGCCGCCGGGTCATGTGGTTTCGCTTTTCTGGGCCTATTACCAAGCCAGCAAGGGCGTGGGAGGGTTGCGAGCATCATCGGTCATTGGCGCTCGCGAATGAAGAGCGCCCGCTGCACTTCCTGCACATGTGCGGATCCTTCCGCGTTTTGGGGGTGGAAGCGCTCGTTCCGATCGTTTTTCTTCCGCTGGGTCACGTGGCTGCGCTTTTCTGGGCTGACTATCAAGCCACCAAGGGCGTGGGAGGGTTGTGAGCATCATCGGTCATCGACGCTCGCGAATGAAGAGCGACCGCTGCTCTTCCTGCACATGTGCGGATCCTTCCATCTTTTGGGGGTGGAAGCGCTCGTTCCGAGCGTTTTTATTCTGCCGAGTCTCGTGGCTGCGATTTTCTGGGCCTATTACCAAGCCAGCATGGGCGTGGGATGGTTGCGAGCATCATAGGTCATCGGCGCTCGCGAATGAAGAGCGCCCACTGCACTTCTTGCACATGTGCGGATCCTTTCGCGTTTTGGGGGTGAAAGCGCTCGTTACGAGCGTTTTTCTTTTGCTGGATCACGTGGCTGCGCTTGTCTGGTCCTATTACCAAGCCAGCAAGGGCGTGGGAGAGTTGCGAACATCATCGGTCATCGGCGGTCGCGAATGAAGAGCGCCCGCTGCACTTCCTGCACATGTGCGAATCCTTCCGCCTTTTGGGGGTGGAAGCGCTCGTTCCGAGCCTTTTTCTTCCGCTGGGTCATGTGGCTGCGTTTGTCTGGTCCTATTACCAAGCCAGCAAGGGCGTGGGAGAGTTGCAAGCATCATCGGTCATCGGCGTTCGCGAATGAAGAGCACCCGCTGCACTTCCTGCGCATGTGCGGATCCTTCCGTGTTTTAAGGATGGAAGCACTCGTTCTGAGCATTTTTCTTCCGTTGGGTCACGTGGCTCCGCTTGTCTAGGCATATTATCAAGCCAGCAAGGGCGTGAAAGGGTAGCGTGCTAGAATGCTATAATTGTCTAGTCTGCAATGGGGTACTTTATAGTAAGTACAGCCCAAATTAGGGTTTGCCATAAGTATCCTATCTACTGCTAGTGTAACCCCTCTTCTTCTGTTATCTTTTCTCCTTCGTAAAACCTAGACCCTAGCCATGGCTACTATGGTAAGCTCTAGCAAGGAGTTTAACATAGCGAGCATCATCGGTCTTCGGCGCTCGTGAATGAAGAGTGCCCGCTGCATTTCCTGCATATGTGCGGATCCTTCTGCGTTTTGGGGGTGGAAGCGCTCGTTCCGAGCGTTTTTCTTCCGCTGGGTCACGTGGCTGCGCTTGTTTGGGCCTATTACCAAGCCAGCAAGGGTGTGGAAGGTTTGTGAGCATCATCGGTCATCGGCGCTCACGAATGAAGAGCGCCCGCTGCACTCCCTCCACATGTGGGATCCTTCCGCGTTTTGGGGGTGGAAGTGCTCGTTTCCCAGCGTTTTTCTTCCTTTGGGTCACGCGGCTATGTGCGTTGGACCAATTACCAAGCCAATAAGGGCGTGGGAGGGTGCCTAGCACGATCGGTCATTGTTGCCCGCAAATCAATTATGCCTGCTTTCTTCCTTTGGGTCACGCGGCTATGTGCGTTGGACCAATTACCAAGCCAATAAGGGCGTGGGAGGGTGCCTAGCACGATCGGTCATTGTTGCCCGCAAATCAATTATGCCTGCTGCAGTTTTTGCACATGTGCGGGTCCTTCCGTGTTTTTGGGATGAACGTTTGTTTCAAGCGTTTTTCTTTCGTTCGGTCAAACGGCTGTGTGCATTTGGACCTACCCAAGCCAGCAAGAGCGTGGGAGGGAGGCGAGCATGAGCGGTCTTTGGTAATGGCGAATGAACCATGTCTGCTGCATTTTCGGCACATGTGCGGATCCTTCTGTTTTTTGGGGATGATAACTCTACCGTCGTTCTAAAAAAAAAACTTCCATTCGGCCGTGCAATGCTTGTCTTGCTTTTATATCTCCCCCCTCCTCTTTTCGCTTGTGGGGGTGCGTCAAACTATGTTCATATCTGTGAATGGCTACAGTGAAGTAGATAGTACTGAGTACAACTCTTTAAGGTTTGTATAGTGTCTCATGCTTGCTAATCCAACCTTGTTCCGCTGTTCACATTTTGGGAGACAGGCCTGGCAAGGCTTAGGCAAGTGTGCGTGCATCCAGCAGCTTTGCCATGAGTGCATTTTGGATACTTGTGTAACAAAACACGCTCGTTACAGCTTTCCAGCATGACCTTTCCTAGAGCCGAAAGTATATTTAGGCACCTCAAACGTGGGGCCTAGAGCTGAGTCTTTTGAGGCACCTCAAGAGCGGGGCCTAGAGCTGAATGTAGGTGAAGAAGTAGAGCTTGAGGAGAACCCCCAGGCCGGCCTGCAGCAGCACAGCGCCGACAACGATGGGGAACCACATCTCGTGGCCCACTGTGATCTGCGCGCGCAGGTTGACACCGAGGAAGAAGCACGAGATGGCCGTGGCGCCCAGCACTATGAGCCAGCGCAGCAGGTCCAGCGGCAGCACCGTTATGAACTGCCAGGGGACGGGAAGGGGGGGAGAAGGGGGCGGGGGAGGGGAGAAGGGGAAGGGGGGGTGAGAGGTACAAAGAGGAAGTACGTGCAAGGGAGATGCATGAGGAAGAACGTGCAAGGGAGATGCATGAGGAAGAACGTGCAAGGGAGATGCATGAGGAAGAACGTGCAAGGGAGATGCATGAGGAAGTACGTGCAAGGGAGATGCAAGAGGAAGTACGTGCAAGGGAGATGCATGACGGATGATGTTCCATGTGCCAATGCACATGTGTGTGAGGGTGCATGGATGCGCTGGCATTCACGGTCCTGCCTGATGCCCTTGGCGCATGGCAGAGAGAAATAGCAGCAGGAGTTGGGGAGGCCAGCACCATGCACCACGCACCATGCTCCATGCTCCATGCACCATGCTCCATGCACCATGCCCCATGCACCATGTACTATGCACCACGAACCACCCTGCCCCTTGCCCCTTGCACCATGCCCCATCCCCCTTGCACCATGCCCCTTGCCCCTTGCACGCACCGAGATGGGGATGTAGACAGCCAGAGAGTAGCCATACAGACACCACAGCTGAACCAACCCCGCGGAAACCTGCACGCACACACACGACAGGTACACGCCAGGCACATGCCATGCACACACCACATGCACGCCACACGCACTCCACACACATGCCATGCACACACCGCATGCACGCCACACGCACTCGTCACACATGCCACGCACACACCACATGCACGCCACATGCACTCCACACACATCCCATCCACACACCATGCACGGGAAGGCAGAGAGGGGCATTGATCAAACGCTGTTGCTAACCGAATGAGCAGCGTTCAACAGAGAACAGCAATCTGCATGCAGTGGCTGGGATTCCAATCAGCAGTCCATCCAAGTCAGAGGGAACGACCTCCAGGTGTTGCGGATAGCACAGAACAGCAGTGCAAGTAGTACCTGCAGGTAGCGCAGGAGGAAGAAGAGCAGCAGCGGCACGACAGCCACATAGCCATAGAAGATGGCGGCAGCCCAGCTGACGGCGTCGATGTTGTAGTGCCAGTGCTCCTCCGCGGCTGATGAGGGCGAGGCAGCGTAGCTGAGGTAGCTCGCGAGGTTGCCCAGCGAGGCCGACAGGAACACGAGCGTCGTGCAGATCCAGAACGGCCCGTAGCTGCCGTGCGGGTGGGGGGTGGGAGGAAGAGTTCTTTTTAACGCACTTATCACTTGGCTGTTTTACAGCTGTTGATCCTGTTGCTACATCGGCGTCTCACACACTGCTGCCCTTCTACCCTGGGCCAACAGGAACACGAGAGTGGTGCAGATCCAAAACGGGCCGTAGCTACCGTGCGGGGAGAGGGGTGGGCGGTGGGAGGGGGAGTTTTGGTGAGGGGTGAGTACGGGTGGGAGGGTAATGGATGCATAGATGAGAGCTGCACCCAGCTTCACACCCCTCCCCTCACATGTCGGGGTTGACACCACTCTCCTCACATGCCCGGCTTTCGAGATCAAAGGGCCTCACACCTCTCTCCTCACATGTCGGGGTTGACACCACTCTCCTCACATGCCCGGCTTTCGAGATCAAAGGGCCTCACACCCCTCTCCTCACATGTCGGGGTTGAGGGCCGTCTTTTCGAGGAAGGAGGAGCGCGGGAAGGGCATGAGCGCGTCCCGCACTCGCTCCGCCACGTCGGCGGTGTCCACATCGAAGAAGGGGCGGTAGAACGCCACGCTGAACACGCCCCAGATGCCCACCGGGGGGGGCGGCAGGGACGAGCCTGCCCCACCTGCGGTCGACGAGAAGGTGTCTGGGGGGGGACATGGGGGAGAGAGGGGGGGGGGGTCGGTGGTTGGGTGGGGGGTGGGAAGAGGGGAGGGGGAGAGGGAGGGGATGGGGAGGAGGGTTTGGGCCGAGGAGGGTGCAGTGGGGAAGCGGGATGATGGGGGAGGGGAGGAAGAGGCAGGGGAATGGCACGAGGCAGAGAAGGTATTGCTGTGAGCCCAAGCCGCTCACGCTTTGACATGCTGCCCGCACCGCACTCACCTGATCCCCTGCTCGCTGCGGGCTCGGGCGTGTAGGGAAACTCTGCCACGCAGCAGGGAGGGCGATGGGGTTGGGCGGATGCGGGGAGAGGCACACAATGGTAAGGAGCAGGGGGGTGAGGAGCGGAGGGATGTGGAGCAGGGATAGGTAACAGAGGGGCTGGAAGAAGCAAAAGGGTGGGAGGTGCGTGAGGCGGACAAGGAGCTCGCTGCAGTCACGTGCGATGCTGGATACAGGAATATGGGCGCGCTGACAAGACATACTCGTTATACGGACATACCTGGGTGCGTTAGAGGGACTTCGGCTCCCTGGGCCACCTGAGAGGGATTTGGTTTGGGCGATTGAGAGAGGGGGCGTGGCAGTGCACGGAGATGGGCGATGGGGTGAGGGGAAGATGCGATGAGGGTGAGTGGCGCACAGAGGAAAGAGGAGAGCGCAGAGAGAAGAGAGCAGCGAGCAGGGAACGGACGCTGGGCGAAACATTTGACGGGCGTTGGTCCATTAAGAGGGGCCGGTCGACGGCGCGCAGCGGGTGCAGTGGTGGGTAAGGGCGTGGCGACGCAAGCGGCAGTACGAGCGGCGGCGGAGCAAGGTGTGGGGTCGCGGCATTACCGGCACGGTGCCGATGCGGCCGTACTGCCCCACGTTGTCCGACATCGCCGACATGCCGCCCGCCGCTCTTCCCGCAGGCACGCGGACCGCAGCGCGCGTGCGAACAGATAAGGTGGACGGATAAAGAAGCTGATCGGAGGCGAGGAGGCGAGGAGGCAGGGGTCAAGCCGTGCGGAGGACGGGAGACGCGGCGAGCGAGAGGAGAAGTACGCGCTGGACTCAGCGATTGTTGCGGTGGAAGGCGGCTTCTGAATTCACGAAATGCCACGGTAGGTCTGGTGCTCGATCTGTTCGCAGATCTGCTGGTGGCATTCACTTTTTTAGTATTCGGGGAGGTGCTTCGCGATCAATAACATTTGAATTGGGATATACAACGGTTGAATGTTCTGAAAAGGCATAAGATGTGAGGTCTCAATAGCATTTTACCCTGATGCACATGGTATATCTGGTATATCTCGAACTATAGCTAAGCCATACAAAAATATACTATGGTAGCTTAGGGCGGGTCAAACTTTGCACACATTCTCAGAAAACCCTACCGAACCATATTCTGTTTAAATTATACCTTTCTGGATCAAGCCTAGACCTTTTTGAACCCCGTTCGGACGTACTCTTTTGACCCGCCCTTATCTAGTGTTAGCTGATATTCTATACATTGCAATCTATACAACTAGCAATACATGTTGCCCTGTATCGCCAGAATTATCATCATAGCGATGGCCTATTCTGCAGGTAAACGGCGATGTGCTGGCGCACGAATGCAGACACCTTCTCCCTCAATGGGCGCTCCTCTATGGGCCGCATCGCTCCCTGGCATGACACAGCACAACAGCATCGCATGGCGAGCAATCACGAGTCGCAAAGGAGGCGCAATAAAAAGGAGGTGCATTAGGTGGGATAAACAATATGAGGCAGACACATTGTATAAAACACGCGTTGTGAGGGACACAACACGAACCAGGGGGGTATGCGAGCATGCTTCACAGAGAGGTGGGGGGTGTAGGGTTTAGGGTTATGCAAGCACAGATCAGGGTATATTGGAATCACTTTAGAGAATTCTCAAAAGTGATTTCAGTATAGCACAGGTCAGGGAGGAGGTATGCTCGAATGACAGTGGGGGCAAGGGACGCACTGCTACTATGGGGGCAGCACAGGTCCTCGGGCAGCGAACAGGGTTGCAGCACAAGCGCTGCTGTCTATGGAGCCCCTTGGGAATTCATGTGGCTCACCTGGTGGGTGCGCTGCCGGCTCTTCACCGCTTCCTTCCCCACCACCTCCCGCACCAGCCGGCCCCGCATGCGCTCCACCTCCCGCCCCGACAGCTGCAGACAGGGGAAGGGGAGAGAATACGAGGGGAGGGGGTGTGTGGGAAGGGAGAAGATGGAAGTGGAGGTGAGGAGGGGAAGCAGAGGAGTGAGGCGCGCGTGGAGGGCTTTGATATGCGGCACAAGCCAGGCGGTTGAGAGGGTGCAATGGGGGCAGATGGGGCAGATACTCACACATGGGGGAATTGGGAAAGTGACGAGTCAGTTGGGTGATGAGTGAGCTGCCAGGGTAGCACGAGCAGCAAGCCATGGCAGTGTGGACAAGTGCCGAGTCTTGAGAGAGGGTGAGAAGTGAGGTTGAGTGGGAGGAGTTACCTTGGAGAGGAATGGCGCCATGGCATGCTGCACGATGTCAGTCACCTGCACACACACATGCATGCATGCACGTACACACACGCACACACACACACACACACACACACACACACACACACACACACACACACACACACACACACAACCACACTATTCTCTTAAGGCATTGTTGGGATGCATTGGGGATAGAGAGAAGCACAAATAAAACACACCGCAACAACATTGGTAAAAAACACATCCTTCTTGAAACCCCTCCTCCCGCAACCACGCCCCACCTGCCGCAACCTCTTACCCTCATCTCCTTCCCCTACCCCCTGCCCTGCCCATCATCTCACCGCGGCTTCAAACTCGCGGCACAGCGGAGTGACCCACCGCCGTCCCCCTGCCATGCCGCCCCCTGGTGCCACCCGCGTGCCTGCCGCCGCCGCTGCAGATGCTCCCCCCGCTGCTGATGGCGCCAAGGGTCTCGAGGCTGCTGGTGCTTCTGGGGCTGCCAAGGCTGCCAGGACTGCTGGGACTGGTGCCACTGGCGCAGCTGGCGTGAGTGACGGGGCTGGTGCGAGTGACGGGGCTAATTTAGGCTCGGTGGCTCGTGCTGCACTCACAAATGTTGCACCAAGCGGTTCTGCCCCCTCTGCTGTTCCTGCTGCCCTGCCCTTTTCCCCAACCTCCTTGCCGCCCACACCTCCCACTCCTCCTTCCACTTCTTTACCCCATGCCTGCCCACCTGCTGCCACACTTGCTGCCACACCATTTGCTGTTGCCCCACCTGCTCCCAGCCCACCTGCTCCCAGCCCACCTGCTCCCAGCCCACCTGCTCCCAGCCCACCTGCTACCCCTGCTACATCCACCCCTGCTGCCGGCCCAGGTGGTGGCGGGGCAGAAGGGCAGTGAGAGAGGTCCAGGTCACTGAGGTCCATGTCCACATCCATGTCCTCCTCCTCCTCCTCGCTGCCCCTGCCCATGCATGTGCCCGTGCCCGTACCCATGCCCGCACCCATGCCAGTACTCATGCCCGCACCCGTGCCCATGCAGGTGGCCATGCCCATGCTCGTACTCATGCCTGCACCCATGCTCGCACTCATGCCTGCACCCATGCTCGTACTCATGCCTGCACCCATGCTCGTACTCATGCCTGCACCCATGCTCGTACTCATGCCTGCACCCATGCTCGTACTCATGCCTGCACCCATGCTCGTACCCATGCCTGCACCCATGTCCGCACCGATATCTTCTGTTTCCATATCCACCTCCATGTCCTCCTCATACCCCGCCTCCCCATTCCCCACCTCCTCAGTCCCCACCTGTTCACGTCTCGCCTCCCCACACGAGGGCACACCCGTCCCACCAACCTCCCCACCCTGCACTCCAGCACCCCCCGCGCCCTCACCCACCCTCCATGTCCCTTCCCCCTCCCCTTCATCCACTGCGCCCCACCCCCCTGCCCCGCTGGCAACCGGGCCACAGAGGGGGATGCTTGAAGGGGGTGGAGCTGGAAGGGCGGAAGGTGGCGGGGGAGGGGGGGAGGAGGAAGGGGGGGGAGGGGGTGGGGGAGGAGATGGTGGAGGAGAGGCAGGAGGGGGAGGAAGGGGGGGAGGAGGGGGGTGTGAGCAAGCACGGGCGGAAGGAGAGGGGGGGTACTGCTGAGGCAGAGCACTGTCATGTGGATTGGAAGGAGGGTTGTTAGATAGGGAGGGGCAGGTGGCACCTGGTGCAGGTCGGACTGATGCTGGGGAGAGCGGGAGAGGGGGAGGAGGAGGAGGGGAGGAGCGGAGTGGGGATGATGGGTGAGGGAACGGGATGGAGGGTGGTGGGAGAGGCGAGGCGGCTGCATGTGGCACGGGATGCACTGAAGCATCTGCGGCACTGGAGAAACCAGCAGTGCCACGTGGCAGGTTGTGAGTGGGTGGTTCAACGGAGGGGCTGGCGGGTATGGCAATGGTGCTGACGCTCCACACGGGCCTGCCTGCCCGGCGCCATGCCAGGGGGAGCGTGGTGGGGGGTGTGGCAGAGGAGGCGAGGGATGATGGGAGGGATGATGGGAGGGATGAGGGGAGGGATGAAGGGGCATGGTAGTGGGAAGGGGCAGCATGAGGAGCAGAATGAGGTGGTGCGCTGAGAGTGTCGTTGCTTTCATGCTGCGTCACGTCATGATGCTCACGATGATGAAACTGCTGCTGCTGCGTGTGCTGATGCTGCATATGATGCTGCTGCATGTGATGCTGCTGCATGTGATGCTGTTGCTTTTGGTGCTCACGGGATGCAGCGTGTGGCAGGGCGTAAGGCAGCCCGTCAGCAGCGTGTGGCAGGGCATAAGGCAGCCCGTCAGCAGCCGTGGCCGGGGGTGGTGGGGAGGAGACGGGACGGAGGGGGGCAGGGGAGGAGAGATGAGCGCGTGGCAGAGGCGCGTCCACATGCCAGTTGCAGCTGAATCGAGCAGCAGCACCAGCAGAGACGCCAGCGGATGATGATGAGGAGAGTCGATGCGCCCCGTTGTGCTGCTGCTGCGGCTGCTGCTGCTGCTGATGCTGCTGCTGCTGCTGCTGCTGCTGATGATGCTGCCACTCATGTGCCTGCATGTGCTGCTGCTGAATCTCATGCTCCTCTCCCTGCCTTCTATGTCCCTCGCTCTGCCTTCCATGCCCCTTGCTCGGCCAATGCCCATCGCCCTGCCTTCGGTGCCCCTCGCTTTGCCACCCGTTCCCCTCGCCCTTCCACTGTGACACACACCCTCCTGCTGCTTCCCCTGTTGCTGCACTACCTGCCTGCAGGCTGTGAGGCATCGCTGAGCCGGTTGCATGAGCTGAGCTGGCACCATGAGAAGTAAAAGCAGCAGCAGCATGAGCGGAAGCAGCATGACCAAAAGGAGAAGCATGTGCAGTGGGAAACGAGGGGGCGTCGGCAGCAGCAGGGGGCGCATCAGCAGGGATGACACGCACGTTCCATTTAAGCTTGAATGCGGGGCGAGATGGGGGCGCGGTGGGCGGGAAAGGAGCGGCAGGGGACGGCCAAGAGGAGGGAGTGAGGGAGCCCGGGGAGGGGCCATGCAGGGCGGGGGAGGGCGATGGGTAGGAGGGCTGGGAGAGAGGCAGGGAGGGGAGGCGGGAAGGGGGGAGGGGAGAGGAGGAGTGGGGGGGCATAAGGGAGGATGAGGGCAAGAGATGAGGCGATGGTGAGAGACTGTGAGGAGGGGTTGACACAAGGGGGGAGGCGGCAGGGTGTGGGTGGGATTGAGGGGCAGTGGCTGACGGGGGTTGAGGGGCAGTGGTTGACGGGGGTTGAGGGGCAGTGGTTGACGGGGGCTGAGGGGCAGTGGTTGACGGGGGTTGAGCAGCAGTGGCCGACAGAGCAGTGATAGAGGGTGTTTGAGGGGCAGTGATTGACAGTGCTTGCAGCTGTGCTGCTGGCGGCCCATTAGCGCTGCCGCCAGCGCCACCATGGGTGCTACTACTGCCTGCACCAGCATCAGCAGCAGCAGGGGATGGCACAGCAGCGGGGAATGCAGCAGCGGGTGGTGCAACAGCAGCGGAGGGGGCTTTGACTGCATGGCACCCAGAATCCGCGTGTTGGAGGCCCCACTGCTTTTCAGCCCCACCATCCATGCCCACTCTCCCCTCCTGCTTCTTTTCCACCTGCTCCCATTCTCCTCTAGCAACCTCTGCCGTTTTTGCATCTTCTTCCCTGCTTGTGTCTTCGCTTCTTGCATCCTCTCCCCGTTTTGCATCCTCTCCCGTTTTTGCACCCTCTCCCGTTTTTGCATCCTTTCCCTTTTTTGCATCCTCTGCCGTTTTTGCATCCTTTCCCTTTTTTCCGTCCTCTCCCCTCTTGCCATCCTCTCCCCTCTTGCCATCCTCTTCCCCCTTCGCATCATCGCCCTTCCTTGCCCCATCTCTCTCCCTCAACTCTGACTTTGCTGCCACCTCCGCACCCTCCGCGCCCTCCTCTCCACCACCCGCCGTCTCACCCGCCCTCTGCACATCCACCTTGCCCTGCCCCACCGCCTCGTCCCGCCTGCCCGCCTCCACTTCCTGCTGTTTTCCCTGCTCCTGCTGTTGCTGCAACTGCTGCTGCTGCAACTGCTGCTGCTGCAGCTGCTGCCACCGCCTCAGCCTCTCTTGCGCCTTGCCTGCTCCTCCACGCACCTTCCTGCCTCTCGCCTCTGCCAAACCTCCCTTCACGTCTGCCAAACCTCCCTTCACGTCTGCCGAACCTCCCTTCGCGTCTGCCAAACCTCCCTTCACGTCTGCCGAACCTCCCTTCTCGTCTGCCACACCTCCCTTCGCGTCTGCCGAACCTCCCTTTGCGTCTACCGAACCTCCCTTCATGTCTGCCAAACCTCCCTTCGCGTCTGCCACACCTCCCTTCGCGTCCGCCGAACCTCCCTTCGCGTCTGCCAAACCTCCCTTCGTGGCTGCCAAACCTCCCTTCGCGTCCACGGCACCTCCCTTCACGTCTGCCGAACCTCCCTTCGCGCCTGCCGAACCCCTCTTTAGGTCCGCCAAACCTCCCTTCATGTCTGCCACACCTGCCTGTGCCCCGCTGCACCCCACGACATCCCCAACCCCTTTCTCTACCCCTCCAGCCTTCACCTGCACTGGACCCTGCTCCTCCCCCTGCAACGCATCCCTGCCCCCCCCCTCCACCACCTCCCTCTTCCCCTCCTCCGCCGCCCCAAGCTTCGCCTCCCTGTGCACCGCAGCCACAACTCCGTGCAGTTCGCCCCTGGGAGCCCGCCTTCCCTCTGCCCGCCTCTTCCCCTCGCCATCCACGCCTGACCCCCTCCCCCTCCCGCACTCCTCCTTCACACGTCCGCCTCTCACACGCACCTTCTGCTTCTCCTGCTCTTCCTCCTCCCTCGGCTGCTCCACCAATTGCTGCTGCTGCGGCTGCCCCTGCAGGCACTGCCTCCTGTGTTCTTCCAACTCGGCCCCCTTCTGCTGCACGCGGCTCAAAGGAGGGTCCACAGCCGGGCAGCTCTGCCAGCCCTGCCCACGCAGCGCTACAACCTCCGCCTTAGCCTCCACGACAGGGGCCATGTGCTGCTGGAGCAACGAGCGGGTCATGTCAGTCAGGCTGTGCTCTCGCTGTGTCGCATCGCCCGCCGCACTGTATGCCCTTCCGGCCATGTCAGCGGTGCCACGTGGTACTGCCTTCTGGACCGCCAGGTCAGCAGCCATCGGTTTCAAGTCAGCAACTATCGGTTCCAGTTCAGCAGCTACTGGTTCCACATCAGCAGCAGCTATCGGTTTCACGTCGGCGCTTGTCAGTGCTATGTTAGTCAACTCATCTGAAACCAGTTCCATATCAATAAGCTCTGGTTTCGTGTCAGTCAAATCAAGTGTCATGTCAGTGTACTGTGGCCCTATGTCAGTCAAGTCTGGTGCAACGTCCGTAAACTCTACCTTCACATCACTCACCCCTGGTGTGACATCAGTCGAACCCTTGGGCATGTCAGTGTACTGTGATCCTATGTCAGTAAAGCCCGGTGTAACGTCCGTGCACTCTACCTTCACATCAATCAGTCCTGATGTCACGTCAGTCGAATCCTTGGGCTTGCCAGTCATGTCAACAGTGTGAGCAGTGTCAATTGTCCCATTAGCAGCAGGAGCACCCCGCACAGGGTCAGGCCCATGTGAAGCTGCCTTTTCCTCCTCTCGCGCTCCCCCTGCTGCTGCCAGCATGGCGTGGTCTCTAGCAGCAGGCCACCACCCGCCGTGCTGCACAGCCCATGGCATCGCTGCCTGTGCGTACGCCATGGCTCGCCCTGCCACCGGCCCTGCTGCCCCATGCCCATGCATGCATGCATCGTACCACTGCTGCTGCCCCGCTCCCTGCTGCTGCACCCCTGCCTGCTGCCCCACTGCCTGTTGCACCAGTGCTTGCTGCGCTGTTGCCTGCTGTGCTGCTGCCTGCTGCACTGCTGCCTGCTGCACTGACGCCATGCCAAGTGCCGTGTGATACGGCATGCCATACGCAGCCAGCCCGTGTGCTCCTCCCCAATTTCCAATGCCGCCCACTCTCCCCCCCCACCCCACTTCCCCACCCCACTCCATTCCAACACTTCGCATACCCTCCAGTGTTCTCTCCCCACTGCCCATGCCTGCACCACCCATGCCTGCACCACCCATGCCTGCACCACCCATGCCTGCACCACCCATGCCTGCACCACCCATGCCTGCACCGCCCATGCCTGCACCGCCCATGCCTGCACCGCCCATGCCTGCACCACCGATTGCCCCACCACCCATGCCCCCACTGCCCACGCCATTATCCCTCACGCCCCCATTTACGACAGCACCAGCCTCGCCTGCCTGCACATCCCCATGCACAGCCCCATGCGTGTCTGAACATCCGTCCGCATGCACGTCTGCATGCCCGTCTACATGCAAATCAGCATGCACGGGGATTTCCTTCACCACCCACTTGAACAGAGGCCGGGGCGGCACAGGCGCGGCACGAGGTGCCGCTGCTTCACACTCAGGCACCGCAGCCAACCCACCTGCACCACCTGCCCATGCTGCTGCCACCACTGCCCTGCTCCCTGCACCCATGCCTGCCGTCACACCCCCTTCACCATGCGCCTCTCCACCCCATGCAGCCTCTCCCCCTGCAGCCTCTCCCCCTGCAACCCCTCCCCTTACAGCCTGCGCCCCTGCCACCTGCGCATCTTCCCTCCACGTCCCTCCCATGCCCTCCACTACCCGCCTTCCATGCGCTGCCTCTGCTGCTGCCGCGCTGCCTTCCACCTTGACACAAGCCGCAGCAGCAGATGCAGCGCAGGAGAACGGGACGGCGGTGGCATGGCTGGCATGGCTGGCTGCCGGTGCAGTAGCATGCCACGTGGCATGGGGTAGCACACTGCATGCTGCACCTAATGCTGCTGCATGTGCCACGGCACCATGCCATGTGCTGCCCGCACTGCCGGTTACAGGCGCTGTGGGCAGGGCAGCAGGGGACGAGGGTGACCTTTGAGACAATTCAAAGACAGCAGGGAACGGGGGTGGTGGCTGGTGTGTGGGCAAGGGTGCTGCTGTTGGTGCTGCTGACCCTCCCATCCTTCGCCCCTCTTCTCCACTCGCTGCGTCAGCAGCAGCAGCAGCAGCAGTATGGGCAGGAAGAGGGGCATCAGCAGCCGCAACTGGCAATGCAGGCTCTGGGACATCCTTGCCCACTCCATCCACACTCGCCTGACCCTCTCCTCCCTTCTGCCCTCCCTTCTCCCCCTCCTTTTCCCTCCCCTTCTCCATTTCCTTCTCCCCTCCCGCGTTCCTCCACGCCTGCCGCCTCTTGGCCCCCTTGGAGGCAGCAGAACAGGCAGAAGGTGCAGGGCAGCGTTCAGGGCTGGTAAAGGGCGCCATGAGCGGCTGGCAGATGTGCTGAGGGGCGTGCTGCGGGGCATGTTGGGACGAGAGCTTGGGAGAGGGGGACGGGGGCGTGGGCGAGGAAGCAGCAGCAGGGAGTGGGTGATTAGTGGGCTGCGAGGCAGGGAGTGGGTGATTAGTGGGCTGCGAGGCAGGGACCGGGGTGGGAGAGGAGGGAGGAGTTGCAAAGGGTGGAACAGCATGTGGCACAGCAGTGGGGGAAGCGGGAACGGGAGCAGCAGGCGGGGCAGAGGGGGCAGCGGAGGGGGCATGTGGTTGGAAAGGGGCAGGAGGTTTGGCAGCAAGCGAGGTGGCAGCAGCAGCGGCGGCGGCGTTGGCTTGGGAGACGGCATGGGAGAGGGCAAGGGAGAGGCGGCGCTGCATCATGTGCTGCACCGCTGCTGCTGCCGCTGCTGTGGTGGCTGCTGAAAAGTGCGACGGGTGCGCGGCAGCAGGCAGGGGGTGAGAGGCAGGAGGCACCAGGTGTGCTGATGCTGGGACAGCTGAGGCGTCACCTGCTGCTTCATGGGGTTGGGCAGATGCAGTGGTTGGGGTGGGTGGTGGCTTGCTAGTGCTCTTATCATTCGCAGCAACCGCCCTATCATCGGCAGAAGCACTGCTATTAGTGGCAGCCGTACCACCTTCCCCATGTCCACTAGGATCACCCGCTGCAGCATCGCCAGCAACTGTCGCGGCTGCAGCAGCTGCAGAAGCAGCAGCAGGTGGAGTAGCAGCAGCAGCTGCTGCTCCTGCACCATGTGGTGAACCGCCCGCGTCTCCACCCCCTTGAGGCCGACAGCCCGGCCCACCCATGGCTGCAGCGGCCGCTGCCATTGCTGCCGCTGCTGCTGGCCCCTGATGCTGCTGCATCAGCAGGGAAGCAGGGTCTGGGGGAAACGCGAGGCGAAGCGGCAGAGGCAGGTAGTGGAAGGGAAAGTGGCAGGCCAGCGGCAGCAGGTGACACAACTGGGGTGGTACGTTCATGCCCATGCCCATGCCCATGCCCATGCCCATACCCATGCCCATGCCCATGCCCAGGTTTCCCCCCAGGGCGAGGTTCATGCTGAGAGGCAGTGAGAGCGACTGCAGGTGTGGTAGAGTCTGCAGGTGCGGCAGCGACTGCAGGTGGCGGAGGGTGTGTGCGAGCAGAGGCATGCTGGCTGCTGCTGCCGCTGCTGCGGCCGCCGCAGTGGCGGAATCAGCAGCAGCAGAGGAGGGGGCAGTGGGATGCGAAGTAGCGGGGCCAGTGGCAGAGGCTGAAGCAGCCGCAGCAGGAGAAGGGTGAGAGGGAGCGGAGGCACAGGTCCCAGCAGCAGCAGCTTCTGCCAGAGAGGAGGTGTGGCGCTGGGGTAGCTGTGAAGCAGCACCAGCTGCTCCTGCTGTGGCAGTTGGGCTTCTGGCAACTGCTGCTGCCGCCGCCGCTGCTGCTGCTGCCACGGCTGCTGCAGCAGATGCTGCAGCCTGTGCAACCGCACCGTTCCCCCCTTCTCCTGCTGCTCCTCCTGCACCCTCTGCGGCCAAAGCCACCCTGCCATGCCCGCGCCTGCCCTTCCCTGCCCTGTGCACCCGCCCTTCCCGCCCCTCCCTTCCCCCCCTGCCCTGCCATGGCCCCCCGCGCCCGTCGCAGGAGAGAGCGGCGCCGCGGCGGCGGGGGTGGAGGGGCGGCAGGCCCCAGAGGGCGGAGAGGGCAGCGCTCAGCCGCTGCACCTCCGCGTCCCTGTGCCTGCGCAGCCGGCCAATGAGCGCAGAGAAGCTGTGGGGGCAAGGGGAGGGCGGGAGGTGGGGAAAGGGGTGTGGTGAGTGGGAGAGGGCGGCGCTCAGGCCCTGCACCTCCGCGTCCCTGTGCCTATCAGCGTGGAGAAGCTGTGGGGGGTAAGGGGGGAGTGTGCATGTGGGGCATGGGAGGCAAAGGCAAGGCCCGGGGGGGGAGTGATGAGTGGGAGTGCAGGAAGGGGAGTGGTGGTGGAGCAGCATGAGAATGGATGTAAGAATGGACGTGAGCATGGACTCTGATTACTCCATGCAGCATGGTAGAGCAAGGAGGGATAAAGAAGGATGGCATGCGCACCTCTCATTGGCGGTGGGCGGGACGGCATGAGCGGCCTGCAGGGAGAGGGCAGCAGTGGCGTGCAGGTGGTGTGCCACTCGCAGCAGCTTCCTCAGAATGGCCACTCGCTCCCTCTCGTGCTGCAGCTTGCGCCCCAAGATCTGGAGCACGTTCAGCCCTGGGGGAATGGAGGGGAATGGGGGAGAGGGAGCATGGGAAAGATAGGGAGAGAGCGAGGGAGAAAGGTAGAAGCTGGCATCGGTCTGGACTATGTGCGCGCAGCAGTGCTGGTGATGGTGCGATGAAATGATTGAGGACGGCCTTGTCGGGTTGTGCAGCATTGGCTCGTTCAAGGTGCCTCAAGAAGAGGAACACGCAGACCCACCATCATGTTATGATGATATGTTTGAGGAGCGCCCTTGATTATGTGCAGAGCAATGCCTATTTTGAGGTGCCTAAGCGAAGGGACGAGCAGACCTACCGTTGGTGGCAATGATGTGTTTGAGGAGCGTTCTTGATGAGGTGCGGAGCAGCGCCTCCAGCAGCAGCGACACCTCCTTGGCACTGCATGGGGGGCACGCAAAGCAGCCATGCACACACATGCACACACATGCCCACACATGCACACACATGCCCACACATGCACACACATGCACACACATGCTCACACATGCACACACATGCACACACATGCACACACATGCACACACATGCACACACATGCACACACATGCACATGGGTTGTGGTGTGCAGCGGTGATAAAAAGAACAGGCATGCCAGCCAGTCCCAGGACGCTAGAAGTCAGGTGAAGTGCATAGCATGCAAGCATGACAGACGCCTGGCACACATGCATGGATGCTGGGAGTAAGGCATACCATGACGTCACCACCCACCACCATAACCCACCAGCATACCCCACCACACGCCCCACAGCCACCACCTGCCACGGCTCAAGGCCCACCCACCTGAAGTTGGGCACACCCGAGGAGAAGTCTCCACAGGAGGTGGCCCGCATTAGCAGCCGCACGAAGGAACGCGCCGTGCTCTGCACGCCATGGGGGGGAAGGGTGGGGCGAGTTGAGGAGGAAGAGAAGCAAAGGGAGAAAAAGGGGAGTGAGGTTGAAAACAGGGAGTGAAGGGAAGGGTATGGAGTTGTGCGGTGATTTTTTGTTTGTGCACAGCGCGCGGGGTTGCTGTGGTGCGCGAGTTCAGAGTCCAACAAGGACGCATGGCTTGCCCAAGGCATGGCTTGCCGGTGAAATTGAGCGGGAAGGAGAAGGAGAAAGGGGCGGAGAAAGCGAGGGAGAAGAGGAGGAAGGAGAGCGGGAGAGAGAGTGCGTGAAGGGCAGCCCACCTTGCCCTTGATGAGCGCATCGTTGCCGTCCAGTAGCAGCTCCAACGCCTCCTCCACTGCACACACAGGCACACACACACATGGGGAGGTGCATGGGTAATGTGTGAGGGACGGATGAGATGCATGGGTGAGGTGCATGGGAAGATGCATGGCTGGGTGCATGGCTGGGTGCATGGCTGGAGGTGTACGGTAATGTATAATTCCACAAATACAGCATGGGCCAGCACACGGCAGCACATGCCAGTGCGGGCAGCAGAGCAGCTCACCATCAGAGTGGAACAGCACCCCCTGGCACGCCGCTACCACACACTCAGCTTAGGCAATGCGAGGGGCAAACACTCAGCACAGGGTAGCACATGGCACCATAGCGCAGGCAGCAGCAGCAGAGCAGCTCACCATCGGAGTGGAACAGCACCCCCTGGCACGCCGCTACCACACACTCAGCTTAGGCAATGCAAGGGGCAAACACTCAGCACAGGGTAGCACATGGCACCATAGCGCAGGCAGCAGCAGCAGAGCAGCTCACCATCGGAGTGGAACAGCACCCCCTGGCACGCCGCTACCACACACTCAGCTTAGGCAATGCAAGGGGCAAACACTCAGCACAGGGTAGCACATGGCACCATAGCGCAGGCAGCAGCAGCAGAGCAGCTCACCATCGGAGTGGAACAGCACCCCCTGGCACGCCGCTACCACACACTCAGCTTAGGCAATGCAAGGGGCAAACACTCAGCACAGGGTAGCACATGGCACCATAGCGCAGGCAGCAGCAGCAGAGCAGCTCACCATCGGAGTGGAACAGCACCCCCTGGCACGCCGCTACCACACACTCAGCTTAGGCAATGCAAGGGGCAAACACTCAGCACAGGGTAGCACATGGCACCATAGCGCAGGCAGCAGCAGCAGAGCAGCTCACCATTGGAGTGGAACAGCACCCCCTGGCACGCCGCTACCACACACTCAGCTTAGGCAATGCAAGGGGCAAACACTCAGCACAGGGTAGCACATGGCACCATAGCGCAGGCAGCAGCAGCAGAGCAGCTCACCATCGGAGTGGAACAGCACCCCCTGGCACGCCGCTACCACACACTCAGCTTAGGCAATGCGAGGGGCAAACACTCAGCACAGGGTAGCACATGGCACCATAGCGCAGGCAGCAGCAGCAGAGCAGCTCACCATCGGAGTGGAACAGCACCCCCTGGCACGCCGCTACCACACACTCAGCTTAGGCAATGCAAGGGGCAAACACTCAGCACAGGGTAGCACATGGCACCATAGCGCAGGCAGCAGCAGCAGAGCAGCTCACCATCGGAGTGGAACAGCACCCCCTGGCACGCCGCTACCACACACTCAGCTTAGGCAATGCAAGGGGCAAACACTCAGCACAGGGTAGCACATGGCACCATAGCGCAGGCAGCAGCAGCAGAGCAGCTCACCATCGGAGTGGAACAGCACCCCCTGGCACGCCGCTACCACACACTCAGCTTAGGCAATGCAAGGGGCAAACACTCAGCACAGGGTAGCACATGGCACCATAGCGCAGGCAGCAGCAGCAGAGCAGCTCACCATCGGAGTGGAACAGCACCCCCTGGCACGCCGCTACCACATACTCAGCCGGCGCTGCCTGCACCTCCCCCGCCCCCGCTCCCCCCCCTGCTGCTTCCGCCACCAGGTCAAACCCATGCCCATGTGCCCCGCTCTCCTCGCCCCCCCACGCCTCCCTGCTCCCGTCCTCCCTCTCCCCGCCCTGCCGCCACACCCTCTCACCCAGACCTGCCACCTTCCGCAGCCTCCGCCTCTTGGCATGCCGCATGCCCCCCTCCCCGTCCTCCACACACGCTTCCCCCTCCCCCTCCCCTTCCCGTTCCCCATCCCCTTCCCATTCGCCCCCTTCCAACCACACCCGCTCCCCCTCCCCCTCGTCCTGCCCGCCCCGCCCCTCCCTCTCCCCCTGCTGCGTCCCCCGGCCATGTCTTGGTCCCTGCTCTCCCGCGCCCCCCTGCACGCTTCTCCCCTCGCGCCCTGCAGCCACCCCTCCCTGAAGAGACCCAGACCGCGCAGAGGGGGATGGGAGGGGGCGCGCATGGGCGGGGGGGGAGCGCGGGGAGGAGAGGAGCCAGGGGGAGGGCGCAGGGCGGAGCGACCTGGGGTGGGGGAGGGCCAGGCGGGACCTCGCCCGCTTGCCCTCCCAGGCCAGGCGCGCACACCCACTGCCCTCTCTCCCCTCCTCTCCATGCCTTCCCCCCTCACCCATATGCATGCCCTCCCGCCTGCACCCGTACTCCTCTGCTCCCTCCTCCTCGCTCCCCTCCCCTGACCCGTACACCTCCTCCCACTCACTCTCACTCCCCGACTCGCTCTCACTCTCACCCTCACTCCCACTCTCACTCTCACTCTCACTCCCATCATCACTCTCACTCTCTGATCCCTCCTCCTCCGCCTCACACTCCCTGCCCAGCCCAATCGTTCTCTCACTAATCACCATCTGCTGCCCCTCCCTCTCCTCCCCTTCTCTCCCTCCGACTTCTTCCTCATCCTCCTCTTCCTCCTCCTCCTCCTCCACCTCCTCGGCCACAGCTCGCTGCACAGCAGGGCGCACGCGTGGCTTCTTGAGCTCAGCGCCGCCCAGCACGCCGCGGCAGGACTGGCTGCCGCAGTAGCAGCGCGTGGGGCGCGCCCCCACAAAGCGCTCGTAGTTGTAATCAAACGACAGCTCCTCGCCCTGCAGAGAGCGGGAGGAGAGCCGGGAAGGAGGGTGGAAAAGGAGTGAGGGAAAGGTGGCTGCCTCAGTACCAGTGCGTGGGGCGCGCCCCCACAAAGCGCTCGTAGTTGTAGTCGAATGACAGCTCCTCGCCCTGAGGGGAGGAGAGCATAGAAAAAGGTGGGGAAAGAGGGAGGGGGGAGGAGGGAGGGGAGAGGGAGGGAGGGAGGGAGGGGACATGTGGGTTGGGGGAGGAGGGGGGGCAATGCTTGAGGCGGGCTATAAAACCGCCCACAAAACGCTCTTAAATGATAGCTCCTCGCCATAATTGAGGTCGGAGTTCTTGCGGTGAGTCAACGGGGAAGTTGAAAGCGACGAGGAGACGAAGGCGCGCAAGTACATGTCAGCGGCAGGAGCAGGGACGGGGGAAGAGGCAGGAGCAGGAGCAGGGGCAGGGGCAGGAGCAGGAGCAGGGGCAGGGGCAGGAGCAGGAGCAGGGGCAGGGGCAGGAGCAGGAGCAGGGGCAGGGGCAGGAGCAGGAGCAGGGACAGGGGAAGAGGCAGGGGCAGGAGCAGGAGCAGGGGCAGGGACAGGGGGAGGGTCGGGGAGGAGGGGTCTCACCGCTTTGATGGGGCGCAGGGAGAAGAGCCCAATGCGCAGCTCGCCCCGCACCATCCACTGCAGGTGACACACGGGGGTGAGAGACGACAGGACGATGGGGACAGACACGAATCGTGGGGGAGACAGCAGAGGAGAGGACAGGAGAGGGGAGAAGAGCCCAATGCGCAGCTCGCCCCGCACCATCCACTGCAGCCCCACACGGCGGTGAGAGGCAACAGGGCGATGGGGACAGGCATGAGTGGTGGGGGGAACGGGAGTTGAGAGGACGGGAGAGGTGATGAGAGGGCGTGGGTGATGAGGATGAAGATGGTGGCGCATGCAGATGTGAGCGCAGGCAAGATGCGATGGGAAGCAGGCAGGGCAGGCTGGCAGGCAAGCAGTCCATCTGCACGGCCTCAACCCTGTGTCAGCCCACGCACATGCCAACCCAGTCGATCCAATCAGCCCAATCAGTGAGCACGCACCTTCTCAAGACAGCAGTTGGGCTCGCAGCTGTGGTTGAGGAAGCGCGAGAAGTTGCCCTTGCGGCATGCGTCTATCACCTGCCCGTGTGCGCAGGGGGAAGGCATGGCGGGCATAGCATAGGGGCATGAAAGGGGGGGAAAGGGGAGGAGGAGGTGCATGGGGTGCCGGAGGGGCATATGTCAGCAGGAGGTGGCGCATGAAATGAAGGCTTGGCTAGCAACGGTGCCTACCGCACAGTTGCTGACTGTCATCTAACACCGGTGCTGCTGCTTGGCACACCCGCACTCGGATTCCCGCCTGCTACAACTCGCAGGGGCGCGTTTTGTACTTCGCTGTTGTTGAGGGTCATGAAGTAGTAGTGGCGCTGCTTGGCGGGTCTCTACTCGGTTGCTACAAGCTCTCAAGCCACCTACAAGACTTGAGGAGCGCACAGCATACCTCGCTGTTGTTGAGAGTCATGAAGTAGTAGTGGCGCTGCTTGGCGCGCCTGTACTCCTCCAGGCGTACAGCAAACGCCTTGCGGTTGAGCACCTCCCCCACGTACTCCACTATGAACTGCCCCGCTGCCACTGCCTGCCGCGCCCGCACGCCGTATCCCTTGCGGCCGTAGCGGGCTATCTCCACCTTCACGTACCGCCGCTGCTGGAACTGTTGCGGCGGAGAATGTGGGGAGAGGCGCCGAGAGGGAGGGGAATGTGAGGGGGGAGAGAGGGAAGGGACGGAGACGACGGAAGGGGGCAACGAAGAGTGGCATGGGGCAGGGACAAGGGACACGGGGCGGGAACTGGTGTGTGGGTGGTGGCGAGAGCACCGAAGTGCACTGCATGAGAGCGCTGACCTGTTGGTTGCCGCAGGCAGTGCCGCACCAGGCGGTTCAAATACGCCTCTCCGCATCCCCTCTCTTGAGTCTTTTGAGTCGACTCAAAGGTCACCACGCTGCACCACACTGCACCGCATGAGAGCGCTCACCTGCTGGTTGGCGCAGGCAGCGCCGCAGGGGCAGAGCTTGGGCTGGCACTCGATGCTGACCAGGCGGTTCAAACACGCCTCCCCGCATCCCCTCTCTTGAGTCTACTGAGTCGACTCAAAAGTCACCACGCTGTACGGCACTGCACCGCATGAGAGCGCTCACCTGCTGGTTGGCACAGGCAGCGCCGCAGGGGCAGAGCTTGGGCTGGCACTCGATGCTGACCAGGCGGTTCAAACACGCCTCCCCACACCCCTTCTCTCGCCGCCCGGGCGGCGGCGGCACGCACTGGCACACCAACACCTGTTGAGTGGAGGGCGGGGAAGGGGCCAGCCGGGGGAAGTGAAGAGCGTGTGGATTGGAGAAATCTGGAAGTCGTGGGACCCGTGACATGCCATTGTGCCTCTTTCCATTCCTTCACCCTACCTCGCCTTTCTGAGTCCCTGCATTGCTCCCTTGCGAGTTTCCCATTCTGCCTCATCCTCTCCCCCACTGAATGTCGCCCATTTTCCACTCCATCCTACCTTCCCCTCCCCCTCCACCCACCCTTCACACTCCACCCTCCACCCTCCACCCTCCACCCTCCCCCGCTGCCAGCGCGCCCGCTCCCCCGCTCACCTCGTCGGTGCGCTGCAGCTTGGGGCGGCGGTGCAGGTACTCGTTCTCCACGATGCGGATCCACGCGCGCTTGCCCGACCCTGCGCACGCCACGCCCACGGGGAACGACACACACGCGCGGGAACGAAACACGCGCCCAAAGGTCAGGCGATCGTTCAACACTCATCAGAGGTGGGGGAAGACGGGTGGAAATGTTGGATGGGAAGAGGGCCGGACGTGGGGTGCATGACACGCGCAAGCGCAAGAACAGGCGGACTCACCCACGAGGCGAGGTGGAGGCACCGCGGGCTTCCCCAGTCCCCCCATAACCGCGCCCCAACTTCCGCCCACCCTTCCCGCGCCTCTCCCCCCTCCCCTCCCAGCCCCCGCCTTCCCCCGCCCTAACGCGCCTCCCCCAAGCCGGCCGTTCCCGCTGCTCCCCCACTGCCACCACGGCACCTCCCCTCCGCGCCTCCCGGGCGCGCTATCCGCGCCCCGCCACGGCGCGCACTGCGCGTCGTCGTCCCCCGGGTCGGGGTCGTCGTCGGAGTCGGAGAACTGGATGGCGACGCTGCCGTCGCCGTCGCTGCACTCGCTGCTGCACTCGCTTGCGCTGCTCCACTCCGCCGCCCCGCCCCCGCCGCCCTCCGCTACTTCCCCATTCCCCCTTCCTTCCCCCCCGCCCTGCTCTTTCCGCGCGCCCACGTCCCTCTCGCTCCTGCTGTTACTCCCCCCTGCGCCGTCTCTCCCCCGTGTGTCCTGTTCCGCTTCGTCGTCATCGTCCGCATCGTCGTTGTCGTTCGCGTCGTCGCTTTCCTGCGGAACGCGACAGCTGGCGAAGGCAGGATCAGGATTCATGCGACAAAACCTGCGACAATGTCGGGGACCGGCGGGGAGGAGCGACGACGGGGAATGGGGGCGACAAGAGCGGAGAGCAATGTAAGTGGCGGAACGAACGGGACGGTAGGTGAGCGCAAGGGTAACTACGGCCGTTTTTAGGGCTTGTGGATAACACGTCATCAATCGCAGTGATCACGTCACGGATGATAGATAGAATGCTTGGTATGGCAGGGAGGAGATTGAACCTCTTATAACAAATGTAAGACTGCGAAAACGGCTCTGCTGCGTAGGACAAGGCAGTGTTGAGGCTGCGAGCTGCGGCGGAGCACATGGAGGCGTGGAGCCTAACACGAAACCCTAACGCGGGAAGCACGGGGAGATACGGACGGGACGAGAGTACGCGGCGAGCGGCACGAGGCCGGCAGGGATTGGCGAGAGGACATTTCTCCGACGAGATGGCTCAGGCTGCTTAGGCTTACTCGACCGACCCAGCATTGTAATTGTATTTCCCAATTCACTAACCATCTCGCCTCGCTGCTGCTCATGGCTCGTGCAATTTGCATCGGCACTCGGCGCCATTTCTTGCACTTAACGTCGTCGCATTGGACCCACGCCGTCCGCACCACCCGCGACACGCGCTTCTTTTCCCCCCCTTCCCCCGCTTGACCCGCTTCACTGCTCCTCCACCCACTCACACGACGATCATCCCTACTATCCCTAGCGCCGTCCATTCCCATTCCTCGCGATTCGCGCTGCGACGCGGGACCTACGCCGACCACTCGACGACTCGACAATTCCCCGCCTCGACCAATCGTGTTTCCTCCCCCGCTAGCACTTGTCGGGCCTGCCATGCGAAGCTGCTGAGACGGCCTACAAGAAGGATACGCTATGACCAGCGGTTGCTGCCCTGGCAAAAAATAAGAGGTGTAGCAGCTGGCTTTATTATTCGTCGAACGAAAAAAAGCAAAAAGAGCAAGATTAGGTTGGCATGTTCCTCAAAAAAGAACGTCGGGCTTCCCTAATCATCAACAGCCGTCTCGTCTACAAGCGTGCCTTGACTGGTTCCTTCCCCACCCTCGCCCATCTGACCTGGACTACCATCACTAGAGGCAGTGATCAAGGAACCTAACTCAACCCATTCGAAAACAATCAAACCCAAACCAGCACTGCAGGATTACAGTTCCTCCTCTCACCGACTGACCAGGCCTGTAACTCTTCTTGCTTGCCTGTGCGTTGGGATTGGTCATGCTACCGTCATCAATCGCGTTCTCCTAGCGACTGGAATTAGGGAGAGCATATCCCAGCTCCATAGTTTCAAAAATCTCTCAAATTTAGTCCTAAGTTCACTCAAAAAGTACAGCTTTCTAAAAGTTTGCTCACGCGAGGCCCAGATTATGTTCAAAACTGGTCCCGCGAGGCAAAATTTTCGACACGTGTCCTATTTCGTATTAGCAATTTCTGACGGGGGCAAAAAGCATAAAACCCCTAGGGGAACCAGGACACACGTTCGGGAGGGACCAACCCTAAACACGGGGACCCGCTTGGTGTTTAGGGTTGATCCCTCCCGCAAAATTTCCCTAGTTCCCGAAGGGTTTTATTATTTTTTGCCCCGTCGAAAAAAATTCCAAGCGAAATTGGACACGTGTCGAAAACTTCGCCCCGCAGGACCAGTTTTGAACATACTTTGGGCCTCGCGTGAGCGAAATTCTAGAAAGTGGTGCTTTTTGAGTAAACCTGGGGCTAAATTTGAGAGAAATCTGAAAGTATGGACCTGTAATATAGTTTCCCCTGGAATTACCTTGACGCTCATCCACCTGCTTCCCTCAAGTCTGGTTCGTCATCGCGCAACCCCATGCCGGGCAAGCCTCAACCTCAACGCTCAGCAAACCCCAACGCTGCGCAGGCAAACCCCCAGGTCCAGCGAAGCTCGAGGCCAGGCAACCCCAGCGTGACACAAACGGACGCTCGCCAAACTGGGGTTTTCCGTTTGCGCCGCAGATGAACCTTTGAGAACCTTCCGCGTTCACGAGGCGCGAGGTTTCTTGCTCCCGCCAACAGATCCAGCCCAGCCAGCCTCGCTTTGCCAAACTGACGTGTGTCACGTGCATTAACCTAGAAAACTCCTGCAGGTGAGGCGATCTAGACAGCCGTAGGATATGGGCTAGTTTGTATCGGAGGGTGAAGAGAGAGTAACGGAAGCCGCTCGGAAGAAAAGTGCTGCCCGAAAATACTTGGCAGTCGAGTCACACCAACCGTTTCGCGCCACCTCAACCAGTTTGACGGCCGCTGTTGTGCTCCACACAATCAGCAGCCGCTTCAAGCCTCGGTCAAACCTTGATCCTTATTCAAATGCATCACTGTACAACTCACATTTAGTTATCTTCACTTTTGCAAAACTCTCTTGCCATAATTTCAACAATACTTGGACAATGGAGACTCAGCTGCAAACATCTTTCAATTCCTAACACGAGCATTATTGGCATAAGCCCCATTTACATGGGAGCGAGCAGGAGCCAATGGCATGCTCACAAACATCGACCTCCTAGCACCCACTGCTGGATGTGGGATTCTGCACACAAACATCCATACATCTCCGAAATAAATGGTGATTGATTTCAGAGAACTAGTGCAATAATCAATTTATGTCGACAAATTAGCCGCCGCTCAGGCGGTGACTGCTTCTGCTTGCTTGCTGGAGTTGGGCTGTGCAGGCGATGAGAGCTCGTCCATCTTGGCTAGCATGTCCATCACCGCCTCCGCTGGCCAGAAACCCTCCGCCTGGTGGGGTGAGGCGGGGTTGCATGGCATGACATGCAGGCAGAGAAGAGCACACAGAGGGAGCAGTGATTAGAGCAGAGGCAAGAGAAGGTTGGGGTGGACGGACGGACATATTGACGTGAGACGTAGTGGTTGAAGTAACAATGTGTCTCTTTTTGCAGTAGCCATTGGGAAGAGACGAGTACAGTGGCCAAGGAACTTACCTGGCGTTTGGAGTCGGTGCCTGAGAGAATGAAGCGAATGGCAAAGGCTGCTCCAGTGGGCCTCCCTCCCATCTGCACACACACAAACCACACACCCCAGCGCTTCATGAATTCGCATATCACTGCCTCTGTACACCGCAATGCTAAGCCATCCACGCCACATGCTCACGCTTCTCTGTTCAGGCGACAGTGAAGCTAGGGATGGGCGCCGTTGTGGCAGGACAGTTAGGTGGGATGATGACAACGCTGGGCTTGAAAGGCCACATGTTTTCACACACCACATAACTCAAACTCTGCATTGCACACTTGCAGTGATCGTGTTGTGATGCGAATGAAAGCAGCGAGCGGTGTGGGGTGTGGCGTACCTTGAGGAACCGCTGCAGTGTGGGCAATGTTTGCCGTGCCACCACACATTCCATCCATAGATTGCCAAGCTCCACCTGATGCCATGCACCATGCATCATGCCCCACGTCCCATCCACCATGCATCATGGCCCACGTCCCATCCACCATGCATCATGGCCCACGTCCCATCCACCATGCATCATGGCCCCACGTCCCATGCACCATCCATAACGCACCATCCAGAGTGCACCACAACCATGAGTCAGGCACATCAGCACACATGATGATATGAACAGGGATAGCAGCACGCCAGAGAGAAAGCAAGGAAGAGAGTGAGAGAGAGCGAGGGGGTTGGAACCGGGATATGGAACAACGATTCAATCGCCGGCAACAGGCCATTGATTGTCCATAATTTGGCTTGACATTGTGCGAATGCATCCCACCATCAGCTCACGTGCAGTAGCATGCCAACTCACGTGCATGCCACCTCACGTGCATGCCATCTATCACACCTGTATGACCATGTCACCTCACGTGCATGACCATGTATCACACCAATATGACCATGTCACCTCACGTGCCTGACGATGTCATCTCACCCACATGACCATGTCACCTCACGTGCCTGACGATGTCATCTCACCCACATGACCATGGCCATGCCATCTCACCTGCATGCCGATGCCATCTCGGTTGAGCACGCCGTCCTGGTCCATGGTGATCAGCCCCTTGCTCAACCATGTCATTTCAACCACATGATCAAGTCAGCTCGCCCACACGACCACGTGACCTCACCTGCATCACGATGTCATCTCGGTTGAGCACGCCGTCCTGGTCCATCGTGATCAGCCCCTTGCGCAGCATCTGCACGCATGCACGGGACAGGGCGAGCGCACGTGGATCGGGAGCCATGGATTAAAGAAGTGCCTCGGTAAGGTGATAAACACAAGAGAGGCAACTCGACGGCAACACGCCCTAAAATGGTTGCGGGTGGGTCGTTCTGACGTGGAGAATTGCAAAGGCCATGGATGACTGCGGCTGGGAACGCAACGCAACGCACGGTTCCAGGCGCGCGGCTGCACGAGCTTGCAAACAGAAGTAGTTTACTCAAAACCGCGTGTATTGAGCCGATTTGAGTCGATTCGAAAATCTTAAGCCACGCTTCGAGGCACCCACCTGCACGAGCTTGCAGAAGTCGTTGAACTCCGACGCCGTCAGCGCCACGCTCCACCCGCCCGCGCCCACCTGCCAGCCGCCGCAAGCCACGGGGTGGGGAGGATGCACGGTTGGTGATGGCGGGACAGGGGGTCAGCACGCATGCGGGAGACGCGACGGACGAGACATACGGGGGCGGCACGGGGGAGCAGTGAATCATACAAAGAAACAGAAACCCCGGCCACATGCGGATGAGCCGGCAGCACGCCTGCGAACCATGGGCGCACAGAAGCAATCGGCAATCCATGCAGCGCGTCAAACCATGCAGCGCGCCAAGCTATGCCGTGCTCCAAGCCGTGCAGCGCGCCAATTCGCCCTGCATGGCGGCAATTCAACAGCGCGGGCGACGGGTACGGGGGCAGCATGGCAACATGGGCGATCAGGGGGCATACCATGGCGCAGAAGGCCTCCTCGTTGGCGGGCGCTGTCTCGTAGCCCAGCCGCCACCCCGCGCTGTCCAGCACGCGCAGCGGGGGGTTGTGGGGAAGAAGGGAAGGTTGGAGGGGGGTCGAGGGGGCTCACCATGGCGCAGAAGGCCTCCTCGTTGGCGGGCGCCGTCTCGTAGCCCAGGCGCCACCCCGCGCCCTCCAGCACGCGGAACTCTGCCACCGGCGCCGCGCTGTCGTAGAAGCACCCTGCCTTGGCGCGACCGGCGTTGATGAGTGATGCCGCGCAAGCCATTGGAACCCAATGCCGCGATAACGGAATTGAGGGGAGAGAGAGACAGGGTGACAGAGAGAAGAGGATATTAAGAAAGGAGTGGATCGCGACGAGAGAAGAGCGGGAGTTGCGAGAGCTCGAAAAAAAAAAAAAAACAAGAATGGTAACTAACGAGCGGAATTATGCGAGCTGCTGTGCGTGGACGCAACAGCGAGATGTTGGAACCTGGAAGCGGCATCGCTGAAGTGCTGACTCGATGTGCAAACATTTTCCTTGCGAGCCCAATGGCAGTGGAACAGAAGGATGACGCTGTCGATCCATCGAAATGCGTTGACATCCTGACAATCTGACGCAATTCGACACCCATCCCTTGAGTGCTGTTAAATTAACAATTTGCGCTGAAATGGGGCGTCGCGTTAGTTTGGACGCACCTGTGAGGTTACATTGCAGGTAACCCTGCGAGTCGTCATCGAGGTTCGGGACGTTGCGACCGACGACGAGAACGCAGCCGCTCTCGTCGCACTCCAGCTTGATCGCCATCTCCTCGTCGCCCGCCTGCTCCTCCTCCCCCGCATCGCCCACCATCACGCGCTCCCCGAACTCCCCTATCGGCCCTCGCGCCACCTTATCCGCTTGCACGCGCACGGATCGATCTCGACCGTTCACGTGGCACTTAAGAGCTGGCCATTGCTGGGCAGCAGCCGCGCCAGCTGGCCTGGTCGCGGTCCATGGCGAGGCGACGGTCGACGCCGCGTGTGGGAGAAGAAGGGACGGTGACGTGGCGGTCTGCATGGTAATGGGTAGCGCTTGATCCCACGATCGCTCCTTCGGTCACGCAGAGCAACGATTTCCTGCTTCTGAAAACTGACGGCAATGACAGAGCGATCTAGCAGGAAGAACCGTTAGTGGGAAATGGTCAATTCAGTTGGATTACAGTCGTTGTCCTGGATATTCCTCTATCTGAAGGTGGCTGGCAGTGGTGATAGGGAAACAGGATGAGTAGCATGAATGGTGTGGAAGAAACCTTGGGATCATGGTTTGGTGTTTATGGATCATGATTTATGCATGGGTTGAAACTGGTTGGGATAGTTCAGAGTGGGTTTGCTGGATTGCTGGGATGATTGGTCTGGAACTTGGAAACTCCCAAGGTCGGAGGTTGTGGAATGTGGATAAGGCGGATGGAGGCGTCCAGGTGGGTGGTTCAACTCAGCGCGCAAGGCTGACCAGCCGGACGAGGAAACAGCGGCGGTGTCATGCCGAACCACTCAGGAGGCTCGGGTGGCTGTGTATTTTGCAGTTGCGGTCGAGACTCGGATTCCACGAGCCAAGCTGACGGGGTCTATCTTGGGGATGACGAAGGGTCGCAGTGAGTTGATCGGTCAGTTCAAGCTTGAGATCGCGTAGCCGTACGTCGCACGTGGCGGGAAAGCGCTGACACGATTTTAGAGGAAGCCACTCTGGACCGGAAGAATATGAACAACAAGGGCATCGTAACACGTCATTCCGGCCACATAGGAGCCATAAGTCCCAAAGCGAAAACTGGCTCGCTAACCTTCCTCAAAGGTCTGGAGAAAGGATGAGAGCAAGGCAATAAGCAACCACATTTGAACGTAAAGTGCTTCAATGAGTGTATATCCACTTCCCCTACCACATTTATTCACACATGATGTTGTAACAGCCTTAACAGCCTTTGAAAAGTGCCAGCTACCAACTAGTGATCCTTTCATGGCCTGTATTCATATTATATTAATCTTATAAGTCAACTTTGAAGCCAAGTGTACACGCAGAAAAAAAAACGGTGATGTCTTGTTAATATCTACTATGTGCTGGTAATAAGTAGGCTTTAATTCGTGCAGAAACGCATCTGAGCTCAGGTTTTGATGAAAAGCAGCTTAATTGCATGACCAAAAGGGAGCTCAACTGAAGGCCGACAAGTTTGTGCACCTTCAAGGTGTTTAGGAATATATGTAGCAGAAATTGATTAAAAACACGTCTAATATTGTACACTTGAGTTTGCCTGTGTATACTCTCCTTTTCACAGCCTAGGCGCCTTCGCAAATTTGGATGCAGGTTCTCCCGCCTTTCATGCCTGCCTCACTGCTTCGGTCTTGTTGCGCGTTTGATCGGACGGTGAGAAATTCTTTATCGGCACCATGTGCGTCTCGTGAACCTGAATTTCTAGTCAGCGCAGTTCGTCAAGGGCGGGCTGAACGACGACAGCGCTGTGGGGTGGAGGGTTTTGCGAAGGGCGATGGGACAACTGTCGCTGGCTGCGCAAAATCAAAATATTTGCCGAGCAGGTTCGGCAACTCCAAACGAGGCTGCAAAAATTGGTTCGGATCGGACAATCGTTGCTCGAAAATGTGCGTCGCCTTTTTCCAAAAGAAGAATTTCTTCTTCGCAATCCCCTTGGCAACCCCTTGCGAGCTTTGGGGTATTCTTCTCTTCAAAATAACTCCAGAGTTCCTCGAACTGCGAGCTCCTTGAGTACTTCTCACTTCTCTTCGAGAACTCCCCTTCTCGAGAACTCTCAGTTATACCCATGTGCTTCTAGCCGTAAGCATTCAGCGCAACACGCACCGCTTTGATCAGATAGGGTTTTTCTATTGCGACCAGTGGGCATTTTAGTCTCTCAGAGCCTCGAGGTTGACTGCTAGTCTGCAGATCGTGAGTATGATGCACTTCGAGTCCCGAGGGTTGGGCTTTCAGAATCTCGCTCAATTCGACGGGAAGGAGAACGTGATGGTGGAGGCGGATGTTCAATGGCCGCCTCCTGTAAGTTCCCAACTAATGGCATCTTATCTCGGCAATAATATCTCTTTACTAGACACCGTTTGCCAAGACCCCCCTCGTATCTTGGTGAATAAACGGTTCCGGAACTCGCCGCCCACCACGCCGCGATCGCCGCTGCTTCTCGCGAGAAGCTGCGAAGATATCGAACTGGAGGACGATGATTGGACGCTGGGTGCCTGCAGCACGCCCTCCGAGTCGCGGTCTCTCACACTGGCCCAAGGTTTAGACGCCAGTGCTACCGGCCGTACAACAGATAAGGATCAGCGTCGTGTTTTTGGTGTTCGATCCGTCAACACTGCACACTGCGACACAAATGATAGGCTTTCGCTCAGCCGATTAGCGTCCGCGTGCGTTGCTCTCCGCGACGAGGCGACCACCTGCGATAGATCAGGCGACGAGATGGAACTGTCGCAAGGAGGCCGGGCCGAAGTGCGGCAAATCCGTTTGGATAACGCTTGGCCCGACCAAGAAGACGATTCTCGTCCAATTGACATTGTAGCGCACCGAGCGCTCGTGGAGCCGCGTCACGAGGCAGACGAGGGAAGCGACGACGACGACGACGACGAGTCGCACGCGTGGAAGATGCCTCTCGCTGCGACGATGAGGGCGGCGTCTGCGCCTACAGGCTCTGCGTTCGGGGGAACCCTGTCGCGCGTCGCCTGTCGCAGTCGCATTAGGAACGTGCGAAGCTCCGGCTGGGCGTCGGACGGCGAGGACTCGGACAACGACGGCGACTGGTGTGCGACGGTCGCGCACGACGACTGGGCTCCGGTGCGACGGCGACTATCCTTCGCGGAGCAAGAGTCCATGGGCGACGAGGCTGCGACGACAGGCAGGCCGGGAATTGAGGAGCGAGGGGCGGAAATTTCCCCCTGTGGCGCAGTGAGCGACCTTCTCGCTGCGTTCTCTCGCACGTGCTCCATCGCCGCCTCGTGCCCTGCGCCCGCTGCCACGTGTCCACCCATAGTTGCGTCGCAAGAAGCGTCGCACGGCATGAAGGTCGCATTCGCGGCAGGAGCGCTGGTTAGCGCCCCAGGGGAGCGCGGAAGAGGGGGCTGCGAAGGCGGGGAGCGGGGGTTGGGGTGTGTAAGGTGGAGGGTACGAACGTGCGGGGCAGGGGGCATGGGGGGAGGTGGGGCGGGGATGAAAGGGGGAAAGGGCAGGGCGGAGAAGAGAAGGAGGGAGAGTGATAGCGATGGGGATAAGGAAAGTGGGGAAGAGAGTGAGGAGGAGAGCGGTAGTGGCGGCGACGGTACGTCTGGGAGTGGTGACGATGGGGATGACGATGAGGAGGGAGAGGAGGAAGAGGAGGGAGAGGAGGAGGAAGAGGAGGGAGAGGAGGAGGAAGAGGAGGACGAGGACGAGGAAGAGGAGGAGGGTGAAGAAGAGGAGGAGGGTGAAGAAGAGGAGGAGGGTGAGGAGGAGGAGGGAGAGGAGGGCGAAGAGGACGAGGAAGAGGAGCGTAAAGAGGTAGAGATGAAGCAGGTGCTTCCGGAGCAGCAACAGCGCGAGAAGCAGCAGCCCCAACAGCAGCAACAGCAGCAAGAGCGAGATCATCATCAGCAGCAGCAGCAGCAGGGCGCGCAGCAGCGGCAGGGCGAGCAGTACGAGGAGAAGCGGGTGTACGTGGGCGGGCTGCCGTACTACGCGACAGACGACGCCATCCACGAGTGCTTCGAGGGGTGCGGCCGCATCGCGCTCATCCACCGCCTGCACTTCCCCGACTCGGGCCGCTTCCGAGGAATCGCGCTCGTCACCTTCAAGGTACGCGCGCTCACGCTACCTTCTCCCGTCCGCGCCTCCGCTCCCCCCTGCGCCCTCTCCCCTTGCCCCTTCTCTGCCCCTGTCGCACCTCTGGCCTTGCCCACTCCGGCCCACCTCGGTTTGAACCTCAAGCTCTCTCCCCACGCACTCCTCTCGCTGGCGGCTGTGCTGCTGCTCTCAACTCACCCTCTTCCCCTCTTCCGCCCATGTGATTGCAGACGGCCATCGGAGCACGGAAGGCATTGGAGCTGGACGGCGTTGACATGTAAGCCGCTCCACTTGCTCCGTCGCTTGCCTCTCTCAACTGCCCCGCTCGCCCCCCCTCTGCCCCGCACGTGCTGCACTGTGTTGTCGCTGTCCTCTACATCCCCTGCCTGCACAATGACACCGCCATTCGCATGCTGCCTTCCCCTGCTCACCCTCACCTGTATCACCATCCCGCACCTACACTTCCCCCGTTCCCGCTCTTCACCTAATACGTGCTCCTGTCTCTCTCTTCTCCCCCCTCTCTCTCTCCCCAGGGACGGTCGTTTCCTTCGCATCAAGCCCTGCCGCGTCAACCCCTCCTCTGCCTCCTCCGCCCCCACTTCAACCACCCTCTCCACCGCTCAACCCACCTCCGCCACCACCACCGCCGCACCCCACCCAAAGGCTACATCCGACTTGCCGCCTCCCCAGCGCGCGCCAGGCAGTCTCCGCGCGTACGTGGGCAACCTGGCCTGGAGCATGGACGAGGCGGCTGTAGCGGCGTTCTTCCCCGGCTGTAGCATCACGGCCGTGCGCCTGGCGAGGAATCCCGAGACCGGGCGGCACAAGGGGTACGGGCACGTGGATTTTGCGGAAGAGGAGAGCCTGGAGAGAGCGGTTGAGAGGAATCAGCACGTGGCGTGTGGACGGCCGGTTAAGGTGGCTTATGCTGTGGCTAGCAAGGGGGGTGTGGCGGGCGGAGGGGGTATGGGGGCCGGAGGGTCAGGGGGTGCAGGGAGGATGGGAGGAGCAGCAGGGGGAGGGTTCGGAGCAGCAGGGGGAGCAGGGGGAGCAGGAGGAGGGGGCGGGGGGCATGGGATTGCAGGGGAGATGGGGGAAGGTGGGGATGCAATGGAGCAGGAGCATGAAGGGGCGGGGGGAAGGAAGGGTAAGGGAAGGAAGAAGGGTGCAGAGGGGTGCTTTGTGTGTGGTGATGAGGGACACAAGTCGTTTGACTGCCCTGAGAAACACCGCAAGATGAAGCGACATAAGAGCCAGTGAGAGAAGGTGCAATGGGGCACATGAGAGGAGCAGTGAGGGCTAGTGGAGTGGGGCTAGTGCAGCATGCAGTGACACTGTAGCTGATGCAAGTGCAGTTGGAGGGGAGGTGCAATGGCACACAAGGGGAGGTGTCCTCTTTCCACATCGGTAGGTTTGATTCATGCTTTTTTGCAAGAGACATGCTTCAGAGCTTCTCAAGTCATGGCCTTGCACATTGCAGCTTATTATTGCTGCTGCATTAGGGGTTTTACCGTCTACAGCGGTTGCTCAACTCAAGTGGGTGACCAATTCAGTAGTCATCAATTCAGATTTTTTTCTAGTTTATTTTGCCTAAAGATGTAGTGTAGGCATTTATAATTTGTTCGCTACTTAGCCAAACAGTAGTTTGGCATATGGAGACTAAGTGCATGTGCTGTAGACTGCTTGTGTGGCTACCAGCATGACTGCTTGTCAAACAATAATGGGTCAGTTCAAGCCTTGTAACGTGGGCAGCACTGCAGCATTGAACCATGTGACACCAAATAACCCACTCAGCTTGTCATAGCGAATCTACGGTATGGAATCGGTCATCACAGTATTGCATATAACAGCAGTTGTGCGGTCAGTTCAAGCCTTGTAACGTGGGCAGCACTGTAGCTTTGAACCACGCGACCCCAAACAGCCCCCCAGGGCTCTTGGGGAGGTCCACGTCAGCAATGAAGGCGTCCAGCTGTGCGAGAGGTAGCCCCACCACGTCTATGGCCTGGGGGGAGGGGAGGGGAGGAGGTGGGGAAGGTGCGAAAGGGGAGCAACGAGGGATAGGCGGGAGTTGGGAGGGGGAAGAACTGGGCGACAGGTATCCCCCCCACATCTATGGCCTGGGGGGGTTGAGTGGGAAAGGTGGGAAAAGGGTGGGGGGGAGTGTTGTGGGGGAGGGTGGGGGTGGGAAGTTGGAGAAGGGGGAAGAGGGGGGACGGGGAAGTTGGCAGGCGTGTAGCAGGCTTGCAGGCACAAAGCCCTTGCAGCCTACCTGTACCCCCAATCCACCCTCACTCCACTTTGACTGAGTTCAGTATACCACCACTCTCACAACTCACCCCACCATAACAGCCCCGCCATAACAGCCCCGCCATAACAGCCCCAGAGTAACAGCGTTGCCCCAATCAACGCCTAGCATGTCCACCATCGGACACTCCTCTTCCTCCGCCCTCTGTCTCTTCCTCCCCACACCCGTCCGCCCTCACATCACCTCCCACTTATCTGCAAACCTCCGTAACTCTGTTTCTCCTCTCTCATCCCCCTATGATGTTCCCATCCCCCGCTGAACGACCTCACCTCGCCCTCCTCCTCCTTGCCTCCCCCAGCGTGAGTTCTCTGCGCCTCGTTCACCTGCCATCCACAGCAGGCAGGATACACCACGTGCCACACGGCACACAGAGCAGAGGCACGAATGCATCAATGCATGCATAGCAGCGAGAAACGGAGAGGGTGCAGGCATGAGAAGGGGAGAACAGAGAAGAAAAAGGTGAAACGATAGTTCACCCACGGTGGGACTCGAACCCACAATCACCTGATTAGAAGTCAGATGCCTTATCCATTAGGCCACGCAGGCACATTTGCGCCAAGAACATCAATACATTCCATGTAGGCCTACACCAGTAATCTACCCAGCTAGGGTCAATCTGATGAGCGAGAGTCAATGGGGACACATGGGAATCCACGTGGGCCCATTTGGATCACTGTGGGTTGACGAGGGAACTTGACTCAGCGTTAAACATTGTCTACCAGTGCCAGCCTGCCAGGCCTCACTGATATGCCAATGAACGTGAGAGCAGCACTGAAGTAGAGCAGCACTGAAGTAGAGCAGCACTGAAGTAGAGCAGCACTGAAGTAGAGCAGCACTGAAGTAGAGCAGCACTGAAGTTGACTAAGGTTTTAAACAGCTTACCTTGGTGTAGAACATGGGAGCCCCCAAGATCCCCACGAACGTGGGAGCCGCTGTGACCAGCTACCTTAAGGTAGGTTGACCTGGGATTTCAAACGGTAATTGATACCGAGCTTGAAACCAGGCTTTAAACAAATCACCTCAGCGTAGAACAAGGTTTGCCGAGCCCCTGAGATGCCCACACTCGTGAGAGCAGTCGTCACCAGCTGTAGTGCCTCTGTAGTTCAATGTAGATTTATCAAGCCTTTAAAGAGCTCAAGCCTTTAGAGAGATTTGCAGCTCACCTCTGCATAGAACATGGTCTGCCGAGCTCCAGATATGCCCACGGACGTGAGAGCAGCCGTCACCAGCTGCAGTGACTCCAGAGGCACGTCGTATCCTGTCTCCTCTAATACCTCCTCCTGGTGGGCGTGGGGTGGAGTGCGGTGAAGTGGGGTGGAGTGGGATGGATTGGGATGAAGTGGGGTGGAGCGGGGTGGAGTGCGGTGCAACTGGGTGCGGTGTAAAGAGTCACCAGTGGCAGTGCCTCCACCAGCATGTGGTATCCCGTCTCCTCCAATATCTCCTCTTGGTGGGATGGAGTGGAGTGCAGTGAAGTGGGGTGGGTGGAGTGGATAGAGTGGGGTGGAGTGGGGTAGAGAGGGGTGGAGTGCAGTGCGGTGCAACCTGGTACGGTGTAACGAGTCACCAGATTTGTTGTAATGTCACACCCCATCACCCCTTCCCTCCGCTTCCCAGCCCCAAGCTAGCACATTCTCCCACCCCCTTCCCCCGCCCCCCTTCCCCCGCCCCCCTTCCCCCGCCCCCCTTCCCACCCCCTCCTTCCCCCAGCCCTTTCTCCTCACCTTGGCGATCTGCCTGAGGTCCTTGCCTGCCTTGTCCACCAGGCCTGCACGGGAGGGGGGAAGGGGGGGAGCAGCGGGGAGCGGAGAGAGCAGCAGGTGATGGCAGTGAGTGGAGGGGAGAGCAGTAGGAATGGCGGCAGCACAATGAAGACACATCATAAGCCATCAGGTTTGCTGCTCCACATGTGTTGACCTCACCTGCTCTATCCACTCTCACCCACTCTCACCCACCCTCACCGCTCTCACCCACTCTCACCCACCCTCACCGCTCTCACCCACTCTCACCCACCCTCACCGCTCTCACCCACTCTCACACATCTCTCACCCGCACACATCTCTCACCCGCTCTCAACTGTTCTCACCTGCACACAGCTCGTATGTGAAGGCAGTCTCGCCTCCCGTGAGCTTCACACCCTCTCCACTCCCCTCTACCTGCACCACTCTTACCCGCACACAGCTCGTAGGTAAAGGCAGTCTCAAGGTCCCCCGTCAGCTCCACACCCTCCTCTCCCCCCTCTGCCTCCGCCTCTGCTGCTGCCGCCGCTGCTGCTGCGAGAACTGTGGGGCGGAACTGCCTCACCTGCGTGAGGGTTGTTAGGGTGGGGGTGGAGTGGGGTGGAGTGGGGTGGAATGGGGTGGCATGGGGTGGAGGCAGCTTATAAATGAAGGCAGTCTCAAGGTCCCCCGTGAGCTTCACACCCTCCTCTCCCTCCTCTACCTCTGCCTCTGCTGCCGCTGCTGCTGCTGCAGCGAGCACTGTGGGGCGAGACTGCCGCACCTGGCAGAAGGGTTTGGGGTGGAGGGGATTGGTGAGAGAGAGAGAGGTGGTTTTGAATCAACTCCGTCTCAAAAGAGAGAGAGGTGGTTTTGAATCAACTCCGTCTCAAAAGAGAGAGAGGTGGTTTTGAATCAACTCCGTCTCAAAAGAGAGAGAGGTGGTTTTGAATCAACTCCGTCTCAAAAGAGAGAGAGGTGGTTTTGAATCAACTCCGTCTCAAAAGAGAGAGAGGTGGTTTTGAATCAACTCCGTCTCAAAAGAGAGAACTCAAGCTTCAGCTTCAGCCCCTCCTCGCTCCCCTCTACCTCCACCTCTGCTGCTGCTGCTGCAGCGAGCACTGTGGGGCAGAACTGCCTCACCTGGCAGAAGGGTTTCGGGTGGAAAATAATGGTTCTGATACAACTCAGTTACCTCCGAGTTTAAAGAGGGAGGAGCGACTAGGATTAAGAGGGGAGAATACATGAACGGTGTGGCGCGCCTAAGTCAGAGCAGCGCGTGCAATGAGGAGCAGCTTGGCTTGGGCACTTCACGGCATGTTAGTGATTGCTCTCGGTGTGGCATTTGGTAGATTAATTACGCCTACAGCTCACAACCCTGGGCGTGTGGCATACCTCATTCATAGCAACGCGTACCATGAGGAGCAGCTTGTGTTCTGCCCGTGATTGAATTCACGTGGAGGAGCGTCCAGAGCAGAAGACAGGTGCACAGTAGCAGAATAGACGCACTGTACGGTGCGGCATGCGTGAGTCATTTCATAGCAGCGCGTACCATGAGCAGCAGCTGCAGCTCTGTGTGAAAGAGCAGCACTGCAACGGACGGATGCGATTGCACCATGTCCCATCGACGGTCCTGATGCAACCAACACGGGGGGAAGGAAGGGCAGTGGGGGAAGAACCTCAACCTCAACCTCCCAACATCTTGAGCAGCGCTGCTGTGCTGGAAGTCTACTTTTGAGTTTTGAGTCTAGACTCAAAAGTCACCTCTGTGCTGGGAGTCTACTTTTGAGTTTTGAGTCTAGACTCAAAAGTCACCTCTGTGCTGGGAGTCTACTTTTGAGGCGCCTCATGAGCGGCTTTTGAGATTTCTCAGAAATCGCTCACAAGCACTGCTGTGCTTCGCTTGTCAATCAAAGAGGGGGAAATAACTGCATTTGGGATGCATTGCTGCTTGCTCCGTGGATTGCCACTGCTATTATGGTATCAGTGATTGCTAATGGGCTGAGAATGTTTGCTGGTGGACTAAAGGTCAATGGGCTTTTAAGTGATGTTATATGTGCGCCCAGGGCACCTTGCCATGCTGCTTGTATCGAATGCTCATCGCACCTTGCCATGCTGCTCGTATCGAATGCTCCGTGGTCGGATGTAGCGTGAAGGCCCTTCTAGGGGCACCACTCGTAGCTGGTGGGGGGGATGGGGGAGGGGGAGTGGGGGAAGGCGGAGTGGGGGAAGGAGAAGTGGCGGGGGGGAAGGGGAAGGGGAAGGGGGAGTGACGTGGTCGGATGCAGCGTGAAGGTCCCTCCAGAGGCACCACTTGTAGCTTGGGGGGGGGGGGGGGGGGGGGTGTGGGGAAGGGGAAAAGCAGGGGCGAAGGGAATGGCGGGTGAAGGAGGAGAGTTAGGGAAATGGGCGAGGAGGGAGAGAGAGGGGGCTGAAGGCTGCAGATTCCCTTTGCTTTCGAGCGCAAACAACAGTCACAGCATCTCCCATTACTCAATACCATTCCCCTCCCTTTCCCCATTCCCTCTATGCCCCCATCCGCTCGCCCCTCTCTATCTTCCTTCCCCATCTTCCTCTGTCTCGTGCCCCCTCCACCATGGCATCTATTTTCCCCATTCCCCCCCCCAGCGCACATCATGGATGGCAGCTTTGTGTTCCGCCAGGCCCTGCCCCTGCAGCTTCTTGCCCTCTGTCTCTTCCCCCTTCCCCCGCACTCTTCCCCCTCCTCCCCCCCACTCTTCCCCCTTTAAACCCTCCCCCCAACGCACATCATGGATGGCGGCCTTGCGCTCCGCCAGCCCCTGCCCCTGCAGCTCCACTAACTGCACTGCGGGGGGGGGCAAAGAGAGGGGGGAATAAGGGGGTTGGGGGCGGAGAGCGCGTCAGACGGACTCGTTGCGCCAGGCCCTGCCCCTGCAGCTCCACGAACTGCACTGTGGGGGGGAGGGGAAGGGGGACGGGCGGAGGAGGGGGGTACTGTTTGGGTTGTGAGCGGGGAGTGCCTCAACTCTCTCCGCCAGCCCGCCCCTGCAGCTCCACGAACTGCGCTGCAGGGGGGGAGAGGGGGGGAAAGGGGATGGGGAAAGGTTCAAGCGGGACGGCGGAATGGTGGAGGGCGGAAGGGAGAAGAGCGACTCAACCAGTTGCGCCAGCCCCTGCCCCTGCAGCTCCACGAATTGCACTGCAGGGGGGTGGGAGGGGGAAGGGTGAAAGGGGAAAGCGCGGAGGGGCGGAGGGGAGGTTTTGAGCGGAAAGCGCCTTATAAATGATGCGCCAGCCCCTGCCCGCGCAGTTTCACAAACTGCACTGGGGAGGGGAGGTAAAAAGGGGAAGGGAACGCGGGAGCGGAAGCGGGGAAGAAGGGGTGTGAGGGGAGAAAGGGACAAGGAAGAGGAAGGTGACTCGGCGAGGAAAGTGGCGGAGAGGGGTGAAAAGGAGCGGAAAGAGGCGGAAAGGGGGGATTAGAAAAGGGAAAGGAGTTGGTAGAGTGGGGGAAGAGGGTGATCGGGAAAATGCGGCGGAGGGCGGACGGCGGAGGGCGGAGAGGCGGAGGGATGCGCAGTTGTCTCCCTCATTGACCGATCATATTATCAACGCGCGGAGAGGGCTGCCTGCTGCTGATTGCGATCGAAGGCTATTCTGCCAATCTACCAGTCAAACAAAGGCCGTCAGAGAAGTGGCCGTCAGATAAACCACCGTCAGAGAATCGGCTACGAAAAAGAGAACGCAGGCAGCGACTTGCCTTTTGATTGACACGTGGCGGGGACGAACCCCATTGGCGAGCTGCTCAAGTGGCGACGAGCGGCAGATAGACACGTGGCGGGTCGCGGGTGGAGGCGGGAGAAGAGCGCGCAAGCCCTCATAGGGGCGGCGCAAGTCATTTGGGGGAATGCTGGTTTGATGTGAATGGAGGTGGACAGGAGGAAGAATTCGAGGGAATGATCAAAACCCATACGCTATATTGACGCAAAAACGATTCGCTTTCAAGTGGATTCGTGAAAGCTTAATTCATGTATGTACAGTTACAAACTACACACAGCTGTCTTCATGCTTCAGCATCAAAGCACTCCCTTCCACCTATCATCCAAACCAGATGGTGGCATTGAAGCTCCATACACCCTAAGCAGCACTCTTCTCAACCGGCGGGAAAATTGCAATTTCTGATGGGTTACATTGAAAGACCCCATGTACGCTCGCTTGGGCACTCTATGCAGTGGCAGTGCTCTTCTCAGTGGGAGGAAATATCGCAGTCTCGGACGGGTCGCGGCGGGCCTTGTAGAACTTATCCTCGAGCTCTTTCTCCACGTTGAATGCCGCCATGAGCACGTGCTTTGGAATACCCTTGAACACCGATGTGGCTCCCGCGAGGAAGGAGGGCGGAGAGAGCGGACGGTTGGCGATAGCAATCCACATCATTCCCTCCTCAGACGCCTCCTGAGGAGTGCGAGTACGGGGAGTGAGTGTGGGAGGGGGAAGGGTGTAGGTAAAGGGGCCATGAGCACGCGCTTTACATAGCCTTGAACACCGATGTAACCTCAGCTAGGAAGGACGGCGGGGAGAGTGGATGGTTGGCAGTGGCAATCCACATCATCCCCTCTTCAGAGGCCTCCTGTGTGAGGGTTGAGAGGGAGGCAAAAGAGGGCATAGCAGATACGTAGAGGGGAGGGGGGAGGGAGATCATAGGGGATAGGTAGGGAGAGTGGACGGTTGGCAATGGCAATCCACATTATTCCCTCCTCAGATGCCTCCCGTGTGAGGGGGGTGAGAGAGGGGTAAGGGGATGGGAAATGGGGGGGAGAAAGAAGAGGGAGGAAACGGATAAAGGGGGCTGGTAGGAGTGACGGAAAGAAAATACGGAGACGATGTTAAGGCACGAGGAGAAAGATGAGAGCTGGCGTCTTGTAAGGAAGGAGGGAAGATGCATGTATCATGCACGTCATGGTGCAGAGCGATGGGGAGTGCTAGTGAAAGTGGACATACCATGGACGAAGGGAAGAGTGCGGGAACAGCAATGACATCCCCGGTGTGAACGTCTCGGTGCAGAGCGGTGCGGCCATCAGGATACACCACCTCGATGCGGCCACTGCCCGCCAGCACCACATGCAGGATGGCGGCGTTGGGATACCAGTGGGGGGCGAGGAGTGCGCTAGGCTGGGGGGGTTGGAGAAACGGGAAAGGGCAGCACGGGAGTAGGGGAGTAGAAGCAAGCATGAGGGGTGTCGTACCGTCAGATACACCACCTCAATGCGGCCACTGCCCGTTAGCAGCACATGCAGGATGGCAGCATTGGATACCAGTGGGGGGGCTAGCAGCATTGGATACCAGTGGGGGGGCTAGCAGCATTGGATACCAGTGGGGGGGCTAGCAGCATTGGATACCAGTGGGGGGGCTAGCAGCATTGGATACCAGTGGGGGGGCTAGCAGCATTGGATACCAGTGGGGGGGCTAGCAGCATTGGATACCAGTGGGGGGGCTAGCAGCGCACTGGCCTGGAGGGGTGGAGGGATGGGGCAGAGAGCATGGAAGGACAGAATAGTTGATCACAGGAACAATCATGCAGAGAGGAGAGCTCTCAGAGAAGGGCTGAGGGGAGCTCTCAGAGAAGGGCTGCGCATCGCAGAGAGAAAGGTGGGCAGAGGAGTGCACACGCAGAGAGAAAGGTGGGCAGAGGAGTGCACACGCAGAGTGAGGCAGAGGCAGGAGCAGGAGCAGAGGGACACACCTGGAGGTGGTAGAGGAAGGCGGAGAGTCCAACATGGTGCAGCACGGGCAGCTTGCTGCGATCCACCACAAATATGTCTCCTCCCTTGGGCACCGACACATCGGGCATTGCGTGCGCCAGGCTGTACTTGAAGCGCGTGAAGGGCGAGATATCCCCCATGTGCATGTGCTTCATGCCGTTGCTGCCCTCCAAGTCGTTCACGCTGATGCTGTCAACAATCTCCTCCTCCTCGCCATATGTCTGATCGCTCTCCTCCAGCATCGCCTGCAGCTGTGCTGTCAGCCGGGGGGCATTGTGCTGCAGTGGGGTAAGAGGAAGAGCAGAAAACCACATGTCAGGAGCTGAAGACGTCCCCCATGCGCAAGTGCTGCACGCTGGTGCTGCCCTCATTGAATTCATTCATGCTAATGCTGTCGACGATCTCATCCTCCATGCCGTATGTCTGATCACTCTCTTCCAGCATCGCCTGCAACAGTGCTGTCAGCCGCGGGGAGTTGTGCTGCGGTGGGGGAGGGAGGGAGGGAAGAGGACAGGAGGCAGTGAGAGAGCGGGGAAAGGTCGTTTCCCCTTCCATACCATACGCTCCTCCTCGCTCTCTCCAGCATCGCCTGCAGCTGTGCTGTCATGCACGGGGCGTTGTGCTGCCATGTGGGGGAGGGGGAGAGAAGGACAGGTGTCAGGCAGTGAGAGGGCGAGGGCGAGTCATGTAGCCCCCTTGATGCTGCACGCTGCACGCTGGAGAACGTTCCACATTCCCTCCAAACGAATTGGTCACAAGCATGCTCCCACAACCCAACAAGCTCTACCAAGACTACCCCTTGTACGCGGTGAATAGTCATAGTGTTTTCTCACTAAACGCGCGCGCGAGGTCTGTAGGCTTGCTGCGGTCGAACCTCTTCCTACTCTTGCACGACCCTCCAAACGAATTGGTCACAGGCATGCTCCCACAACCCAACAACAGCACGCTCCACATGGCTGGCAGCATACTCACACTGCCCATCGTGATGAACCCCACGTGCTTCTGCCCTGCCACCAGCCGCTTCGCCTCCTCAATGGCCCATCAGCAGCATACTCACATCACCCACGGCACTCACCCTGCCTACAGACCCACACTTGAGTGACTCACATGACCGATGGCAATGAACCCCACGTGCTTCTGCCCCGCCACCAGCCGCTTCGCCTCCTCCTCCTCCACATCCCACGCCCTCGCTAGCAGATCCGCACTGGAAGGGGGAGAGAGAGAGGTGAGGGTCGGAGAGAGAAGGGAAGGAGAGGGAAGAAAGAGAGGGGGGGTGAGGGAGCGAGGAGGGGAACGGGAGAAAGGAGGAGATGGCACGAGAGGAGCAAGAGGTGCAAGCACGGCAGCAACCACAGGCAAAGTCATGCAGTGTGCCGCCCACCTGAGTGCCTCACTGCAGCCCACCTGAGTGCCTCACTGCAGCCCACCTGAGTGCCTCACTGCAGCCCACCTGAGTGCCTCACTGCAGCCCACCTGTGGTGCTCACCAAAACCCATGAGAGTGAATGCGTGCACCTCGCCCGCCTCCCCAGCAGAGCGCGTGTCCGACAGACAGCACTGGCTGCTGCCCACTTGTATGGTGCCTACCTGAAGCCGTGCAGCACGCCCCCAAGCATCTCATGCGGGCCGCCCATGAGCGTAAATGCGTGCACCTCCCCCGCCTCCGCGGCAGAGCGCGTGTCGGACAGCAGCAACGCCCTGAGGGGCTCCGACCCGTTGTTCCACGCCCAGCTCGCCCAGCCACGAGGGATTGCCACAATATCGCCTTCTTGCACATATCTGCGGCCCGTTGCAAGTACACACAAGGGAGAGAAGATATGAAGCAGATGGGAGTAGGGAAAGTCAGAGCGCGTGTTTCACACTAGCAGGGCTCTCAGGGGCTCCGACCCATTGTTCCACGCCCAACTCGCCCAGCCTCGCGGGATGGTCACTATGTCGCCTTCCTGCACGTATCTGCAGCCCACAGAAAGCGCACAGAGGGGATAGAAGATGTAAGCAGATGGCGACTATGTCACTCTCCTGCACGTACCTACGACTCTACATGCATCTCCTGCACGTATCTACGATTCTACATGCATACACCACCGGGGAAAGGTGAATAAGGGAGTCAATGCATGTCGGACGGACACTAGCAGCGCCCTGAGCGGCTCCGACCCGTTGTTCCGCGGCCAGGTGGCCCAGCCTCGCGGAATGGCGATTATGTGGCCCTTGTGCCCGCATCTGCGCGCACGCATGCACAAGAGGGCAGGCAGAGGGGTATATGGGAATTCAAGGCATGTCTGACGGACAGGACAAAGCAGCGCCAGCAGCAGCAGCAGCAGATGATAAACGGAGCGCATCCGTGTGTGATGAAGGAGAGCTGTGGAGCGTCGTTGCTGCCTCAGTCAAAGCAGCGCCAGCAGCAGCAGACGACACATGGTGGGAAGCACACGTGGACGCACACACTCTAATCATGGAGACTATAAGACCGCACCTGATCGGGGCGGGGACGCCCATGGGCGAGAGCAGGCCCATGAAGGCGCATCCGTGCGTGATGAAGGAGAGCTGCGGGGCGTCGTTGTATTCCGGCAGGGCGAGAGAAAAGGCCGCCACCTCCATTCGCGCTGCATTCATGTTGGCATCCTGCGGGAGGGAGAGAGCCGGGAGCACAACGGGACAGTGGAAGGAACAGCGGATTATCCTGCTGAGCAGGATTGCGAGGCAACCAACTGACGAATTTGCAAAACAGCGAAGTGACACGTCGGCAGTAGTACTGACAAGCAAAACACGGCGAGGTGACTTTTGAGTCGACTCAAAAGCCACCCAGTGTTACTGGCGAAACACGGCGGGCCGCACCTTGAAGAATTCGAACTCGCGGCTCCACACGGACAGCGAGCCGCCCTCCGTTTTAATCACATCCTCCGGCGCCGGCGGCAGGAATTCCGCCTCGGACGCGTGCGCGCCGAGCGACAGCAGCGCGCAGACGACGGCGACGCACGCAAGCACGCGCCACGCCATAATGGCTGACTAGTATGTTCAGGGGTGAGTGACGGAGAGTCGAGGGGAGGCACGCACGACACGGGCGAACGGCTGTAGAGAGCGGAGCAGCGCGCTCGAGAGACGGAGACAGACAGAGACAGAGCAGCGAGGTATGGCGAAGGCAAGAACTAACCACTAGGCAAATACATGCGTGAAGAGAACAGGAGAGGGGAGGTTAGGAGCCGCGAGGACAGGGAGGCGTGCAGGTGAGGCGCGCGGCGTCGCGGTTCAACATGCCGAGCATCGCGTCGTTCATATCGCCCGCGTGGCAAAGCCTCGTGCGAGCGCGCATGGCGGCCGTCGCTGCGCCGAGGCGCTGGCTGCTCGCAGGTGGAGGCAAACTATGGACATGCGGCTGCGGGTACATGCAGGGACGTAGGGTTGTCGCGGTGATGGATGGGTGCGCAAGGTGCGGTAAGGGAGGGTGCGCGATACAGGCGAGGTGAGCCCTTCGGAATTCCCGATCAGTGTGCTGCACTATTGTACACGTTTCGGTCGGCTTCAAACGTGGCATTCGAGAAAACATGTGAACTCAACTCACACAATAATACCAGCCATTCTAATAACAAACATGCTTGGACGCAGCGCCGCTGGCTGCACTCGCAGAACAGCGCGCCTCGTGGAGGTAAGCTAGGGACATGCGGTGGCGGCTCCATGCAAACCTAATGAGGGAGGGAGGGTGCCGGACGGGCGAGGCCAGCCCCTCGAGATCCCCGAACTCAACATTGTGCTTCGTCACCGAGTTTTGCACGACTTATCTGCTGGAATAGTAAATTAGAAATGTTAGAATCACGGATATCCATAGATTACAACTTGAGAAAACAAACACATGATAGAAATTACCGGTGTGTTCAAAGCACCCGGAATGTTCTGGATACATAAACGCAAAAAGGAGACAAGCACATAATCTCCTACATGTCATGTAATGTCAAGTGATGTTGGTCTCTCAGCGTCATTTCAGTGGTCAGTCCCATGGAGAGCGATTGACAGCAGCTACCCCGACGGCATGTGCTTTTGAGACATCTGAACAATGCACACCACACAGCAGCTACCTGCACGGAATGTGCAGCGCACCTCTGCAGGCATGAAGGAGCAAGGAGCGCGAGATGTGGGCAGGCAAACCACGGGCATGTGTGGTGGCAGCATGCATGGCCGCCCTGGCGTGTGAGAGCACCGTTGTCAGAGAGACGCGTGCGTAGCCTGGCAAGTGCCGAATGCTGCTGCCGCCGCCACCGCTGCTGCTGCTGCTGCTGCTGCCGCCGCCGCCGCCGCCGCCGCTGCTGCCGCCGCCGCCGCCGCCGCTGCTGCTGCTGCCGCTGCCGCCGCCGCCGCCGCCGCTGCTGCTGCTGCTGGTAATGTCATGTGATGTTGGTCACTCACAGTGTCATGTCATTGTCAGTGGTCAGTCCCATGGAATGTGCAATTCACAGCGCAGCTTGCCCCACGGCATGTGGCGTGAGAGATGGGCGAGCATGGCACAGACATGTGTGGTGGCAGCATGCATGGCCGCCCAGGCGTGTGAGAGCACATATGGCAGAGGGAAGCGGGCAAAGCGTGGCACATGGCCGATACCGCTTCTGACGCTGTTGGTGCTGCTGCTGGTAATGTCATGTGGTGTTGGTCTCTCTCACAGTGTCATGTCAGTGGTCATGGTCAGTTTCATGGGTTATGCAATCCACAGAGCAGCTAGCTACCCCCATGGCATGTGGCGTGAGAGATGGGCGAGAAGGGCGCAGACACGCGTGGTGGCAGCATGCACAACCGCCCAGGCATGTGAGAGCAATGATGGCAGAGAGAAGTGAGTAGAGTCGGGCACATGGCCGATGCTGCTGCTGCTGACTCTGTTGCTGCTGACTCTGCTGCTGCTGACTCTGTTGCTGCTGACTCTGCTGCTGCTGCTGCTGGCCTTGGTGCTGCCACCACAGCCACTAGTGCTGCAACCACTGCATGGTCCAGCAGGAGTGCCATCACCCCATTCCGGCCCCATCTGCCACGACGAGCCAGAAGCAACGTCACCCTCCTCCAACCCCACAGCACCCACACTCACACCCCACTCCACCTCACACCGGGTCACTGCATGGAGGGCAGCTGGTGCAGGGGTGACGCAGGGAGCAGCAGGCTTGGATTGCCGAGAGGCAGCAGTCATTCCCGCGGCAGAAGTGGCAGAGCTGAGTACCGACAAGGAGGGAGATGCTTTGGGGAATGAAGCACATGGTGCAGCGGTGATGCAGGGAGCAGCAGGCTTGAATTGCTGAGGGGCAGCAGCCATCCCCGCGGCACAAGTGGCAGAGCTGGGTACCGAAACGGAGGGAGGTGCCTTGGGGAGAGAGGTGGAGGTGGGGAGAAAGAGTGGGGGGTTAGCTGGTGAAGGGGTGAAGCAAAGAGCAGCAGGCTTGGGTTCCCAAGGGGCCGCAGCCATCCCAGCAGCCGAAGTGGCACAGCTGGGTACCGAGACGGAGGGAGAGGCCTTGGGGAGTGAGAGGGAGGTGGAGGTGGGGCGAAAGAGGGCGGGGTTTTGAGCCGACTCAAAGAAAGAGCGGAGCACTGAGACAGAAGGAGAGGCGTCAGGGAGTGAGACAGGGGTGGAGGCGAGGGAAGATGGTGGAATAACAAGCTGATTCGGCTGCTGGCCTCGTGTTTCATCTTCCCCTGCCCACTCCCCTCGAGTACGGCCCTTTTTTTGCCCACCTCCATTACCCCCACCACTGCTACCACCAGCCCCACTTGTCTTGTCTGGAGCACCCGTTGCTGCCACCACCTTCCCATCGACCACCCTCTCTGACCCCTTCTTGACTGCACCGCTCTCCACACCCCCATGTCCCATCCCCTCCCCCCACTGCCCCCTCCCCTTCCTCCCCTCTGCATTCTCGTTCCCCTGTGCACTCCCCTTCTCCTGCTCACTCCCCTTCCCACTCACCTTCCCCTGCCCACTCCCCTTCCCATGCCTACCCGGCACCAGCCCTCCCCCCACAGCCATTGAACTTGCTACACTGTTACATCTGCTCCCACCTTCTCCCTTTTTTCTCCTCGCCTTAGCCCTCACAGGTACCTTGACCCCTGGTCCACACCCTTCCATCCCCACCCCCACCTCCCCGCCCGCACCTGCCACACTGCTACATCCGCCCACACCCTCCTGCCCCCTTCGCCTCACCTTGCCCTTCACAGGTATCTGGACCACTGGGTCCCCTTCCATCCCCACCCCCATCCCCACCTCCACCTCTCCACTGCCTGTGGAACCAGCCTTTCTCACACTCTTCTTCTGCTTCTCCAAAGAAGCACCTTCCTTGCTCCCATCTCCCTTCTCCGCCCCTTTCAATACCTTCTTCCCCTTTCTCCTGTGCACCCTCTGCACCCTCCCTGCCTCCGCCACACTCGGATCAACCACTTCTATATCTTCTCCTTCCTTCCGCGCTTCCACTCCCTGCCTCCTCTCCTTCATTTCCCTCCCTAACACTTCCTCCTTTACTCGCCGCTCTGCACTCTTCTCCACCGTTCTCCGTCTCGTCTTACCCATCTGCTTCCGCACTGCACCCCCACGCCCCAGCACCCCCCCCATCTCACTACCATCACCATTGCTCAACTGGCCCTTTCCCAGCACTCTGCAATCCCCCTCGCCCGCCGCACCACCACCACTGCACACCACTGCTCTTCCCCTCTCAACACTCACATGAGTGCCAATAACATTCTGCCCCCACGAATCATCCCTCCACTGGCCCCGGTCCCAGCCCGAAAGAGGAAAGCTCGCACTCCTCTCCCACCCCTCCCACTCGCCGCTTCCCCCTGCCTCCCCCGTCCCACTCCCCTCCCACTCGCCCCTACCCCCTACCTCCTGCCCTCCACTCCCTTCCCACGCGCCCCTCCCCTCCACCTCCCGCCCTCCACTCCCCTCACACTCGCCCCTGTCCACTCCCTCCCGCCTCCCACTCCCCTCCCACTCCTCCCGCCACCACGCAGCCGCTGCGGCGGCGGCCGTGGCAGCAGCACTCTCTCCCCCCTCGCGGGTGGGGGAAGGCGCGGAGAGGGCGGAGGGGGTGCGGTAGCGCGGCCAGTCCGTGTGTGAGCGGAAGAGGGCAGCATCGGAAGAGGGATCGATACGAGGAAGGGAGGGGTGTAAGTGGGGGGAAGGATGCAAGTGGGGGGAGGAGTGCAAGTGCGGAGCAGAGAGCATGCGAGTGTGGTGGCGGGGGCACAGCATGGCGTGTGGGGAGAGCAGCGCTCGCTGTGACGCCCGGTGCAGGGAGGCACGCAGCTTCCACAGCTCATCCTCCTCTCCCTCATCCTCACCCTCACCACCCCCATGCTTCCCCACCTGCGTCCCCTCACCGTCCTCCTCCTCCTCTTCCCCCTCCATCGCCCTGTCATTCTCTACCATCGTCATTCCATCCCCCCTCAGCCGCCCGCTTCTCTCCCTGCTCCTCCTGATCCTCCCAACGCGCTCGCCACCGACCGAGTCATTTTCCCCATAGCCTGTATCCTCCTGCCCACTTGCTTCGCTCTCCTCCACGTATCCACACTCCTCCATGCACCCACACTCTTCTACGCACCCCACAGCATCAAAGCGGCCTGTACCTTCAATTATCTCACCACCCATGCACTCTCCATCGCCATAAACTCCCCCACCAGCATACCTCAAGTCATCCAAAAACGCACCCCCCCCATACCCCATCGCCTCATACCCATTTGCTGCTTCCCCACGCCCATGCCCCGCCCCCACCACCCCATCCTGCCCCTCCCCCTCCCCATCACTCCCCCTCACGCTCCCCCGGCCATTTCCGCTCCCCACTCTCCCCATGGCCCCCAGATTCCCCCCCATGCTTCCGCCTAGGTTTCCCCCCACGGTCGCCAGCCCCGCCGCCAGCTGGCGCATGGGGACGAACACCCGCGCGCCCCCGCCTCCGCCCCCCGCACCCTCCTCATCGTCCCGCAGGGGCACGTCCTCGAACACGTCCAGGGCTTGCAGCGTGCGCACCAGCACCATGGGCAGCGCGCCGCTTCCCCCGCTTCCGCCACCTCCCCCGGTTCCCCCGCTTCCTCCGCTCCCCCCGCTTCCCCCGCTTTCCTCGCTTACTCCGCTTCCGCCGCCCCCGCTCACTTCCCCCATTCCCTCCTGCCCGTCCTCCCCTCGACAAGCGTCTTCTCCATCCGCCTGCATTTCCGCCTCCGCGTCTTTCCCCGTCTCCCCCTTCTCCCCCGGAAGCGCGAGCTCTTCCGCGCGCAGCAGCTCCCGCGAGGCCTGCAGCGCGGATTTTACCTGCGCGGCAGTCCCGAGGGGCACCGCGACCACCGCGTCCGGGTCCCACGGCGCCAGACACTGCTGCCCCTCCGCCAGCCCCTGCGCCCGCGCCAGCGCGGCGAGCAGCTGCGCGCGGTCCGGCGGCGCGGCGGACGCGCTTTGAAGCTCGTGGTAGCAGATCTCCCCGACCGTGGACTGCGGCGGGAGGCACGGGGAGGACAAACAGCGCCATATAATTTACATCTCAGCAACGCAATGAAGAAAAGGAACGCGCATAAGGCAAAGAGACGGTGCGCTTAATGGAAAAAGGGGAGTGACGAAAGGAAATAACCGACGAACCGGACTACGTAAAGGGCTCACCACGGCGGATTGGAGGGCGGAGGTGACCGCGCGCATGCCCGGCAGCACCGCCTCGAAAGCCCCTCTCAGAGCTCCGCGCACCGCGGACTCGCGTGCGCCAGCCTCTTTGCGCGCTGGCCCGCTGTCCCCTTCCCCGCGCGGCAGCACTGCCCGGCTCGTGCTTATATCGGGCCCACCGTCGCAGCGCGAACCCGTGGGAGGAGGAGGATCTCTAGCCGCGACGCGACAGGGGCTGCTGGCAGCGTCAGCGGGAAGACACTCTTCCGCCAAACCCGCTTTCTCGCCTCCCAGCGCCGCGATACCTGCTGCCGCTCGCGCAAGGCACATCGCCGGTTCCTCCTCCACGCTTCCACCCAGCATCCCAACCGTTTCGCTAACTCCGTCCCGAAGCCTATTGGTCTGATTCGAGCAAGCCCCGCCCCGACTCACTGCCCCCTTAATTCCGCCGTGCGCGCCCTCATCTTCCGGCGGTACAACCGCTACGCGGAACACTTGCATCTCCCGCCCTTCAATCCCCTCCGCTTCGGACTCGCTACTGTCGTCTTCAATTCCCGCTATGCGCGCCGCACTCACCGCTGCGCGCCTCTTCCGCCTCTTACTCCTCCTCGCTACTACGCCACCTAACAGTTTATTTCGAAACGGCTCTAAATTACTCCTCGCAACCACGGCGCCTAGCAGCTCCAGTCCGCACCGCTCCTCCTCCCGCCTAAGCCCCTTAACTACACGCACTTGTAACTCGCTGTCAATCTTGACAATCCCCACCGTCCCCGCCATCTCCGCCGCCTCTGCCGTCTCCGTCATCTCCGCCGTCTCCGGAATCTCCGCCGTCTCCAGAATCTCCGTCGTCTCTGAAGTCTCCGCCGACTCCGCCGTTTCCGCCGTCTCCGCCTTCCCCACCATCTCCGCCACCCGCACCGCCCGCGCCATGTCGACCATCTCCGTGCCTTCCGCCTCGCTTTCGGAGCTCGAAACGACCGGCCAGCTGAAGATGCTCCGTACCGACTCCGCCGCGTCCGACTCGCCGTCGCCGCGCTCGTCCCACAACCCCACGCTACTCGCGTCCCACGATTGCTCCGACCGCCAATCCTTCCCCGCCTGCTCGCGTGTAACCACTTCCCGCACGTTCGCCGTCACCGCCTCGCACCGTTCCTGAAACCTCTCACTCTCCCGTCCACTAGAAGAATCATCCCGCTCGTAATCGCCTCCTCCTGTGGCAATCGAACCGTCGCTCCAATCCTCGGACCGCTCTATACTTTTGTCGCCCGAGCACCCGTCAGCGACGCGCTCCTCGTCCTCCAGCGAGGAGCCCGCGATCGTCTGGAAACAACCTTCTGAGGTGTTATTCTGGTGGCGCACGCCAAGAGCAGACGACTTTAAGCGGCTCGCGAGGTGTACCCAGTCAAGCTGATGTGGATCCATAGCTGCTGCAATTTTCCAGGAAGGCCGGGGAGACGACTCGGCCGAGTCGCTTGACGACACTGACGTGTCAAAGTCCTCTAAATCGTCCTCATCCACGTCATGCAGCGGGTAGCCTGTAGATCCTACAGACTGAAACTCTGCAACCTTCACTACTGCCAAGTCATCTGTTAGCGTGTCCATGTGTACCCTCAGAACGGCCGCGCGGTCAATTCTATCGCTATCCTCAACCCCTTTCGCAAAAAAGTCCGGACAGTAATCCTTCCACCTACGGCTCGAAATGACCTGAGGTGATGGGCCCGAGCGGCTGTTGGCGATGGCCACACTCATTATCAAAAGCGTAACCTAGGGAAGTGAGCAGTGCTGAGGGAATTGCGGCTATTCTTGAGCTTGAAGAAAGAAACCCAGCTGCGACGCTCAACGGTCAAATCAATCAACGCAAGTGAATAGACAGGAACGAACACCACCCACCTTGATGGATTGAACCGAGCCGAAACGTTTCAGGACGTACTGGAAACCTCTGAGCCCGATTTGGGCCAAACTGGTCTCGTCTCGAGGTTCTTTTTCTGATGGGGTCGCGGGCGCAGTCGGTGGGGGCTGAACTCGAGCTGATCGAGGGGGCGCAAAGCGCAGGGCGCTAGGTACAGGGTGTAGCGCGCATCGGTCGTGAGCGGAGCGCAACCTTTGCGGAAAGTTCACCAGTTGTACGGAAAAGAGCAAGGAGAAGGCGCTTAGGCGGAAACCCAAGTAGTTGGGGTTGTTGCGGCTGGGCGCGAGCCTTCGTTGGGGGGGCTGTCCGCCTTTTCTATTCAACCAATGGCGTGTGGGAGCTGGTGCATCAGAAGTTCAACCTGACTTGTCACTTGGTGACCTTGGGCCCCTCACGGCGGCCACTCGGAAGCGAGAAACGTGACCGACGATTCTAGATACGTGTTACGGCTCGAAATTGTGGAAATACTCTAGTAAGGAATTTTCCGGATTCCTTACTGGGTCACACTGTACGCGTACAACTCCGACTTTCGGAAAACCAGGCTCGGCCCGCCGACCTCGCCTTCCGAGCCACCACCGCGTCGTTTTCAGGTTTCCAACCCCGAACCTACACCCAACCATCTCGCGACCCCTCGACCTCGGCCTAGCTAACCTTGCTATATTATGCCTAGGCCCCGTTGTTCATGCAGACGTTGTAATCACTTCCGCATTATTGAGTTCTGCGCACTCTTTCCTTTCACAACTTACCGTCACCCCCCGGATATACCCCCATGGGGGGCAATAATAAAACAGGTTTTTTCAAGGGGGTGGGCTTATAATCGAGTAAATTTATAAGCGCCGGCGTTTATAAAATGACATTCATATTTTTTTATATTTTTTAACACCAAACTGTAGGTCTCGTGCTTGCCCTTTCAATCGAGTCGAATTTACATGGGGTCGTCTGTGAAATTCTCGCGCGCGCTGGGAGACACACCCAATCTGACTCACATCCAGCTCCTGACAGCTCCTGCTGACTGGACCCGCATCCAGTGCAGGGTCCGAATGTGAAGGGAACCGAATCTGCAACATATCTGCCTGCTAAAGTAAAAATCATTACAACGTTTTGTACACATTTCAAATTTTAAAGTTTACGTGCGCTTATAATAAAACTAGTTTTTTCAGGGGGTGCGCTTATAATCGAGGAGGGGATATAAGCGCCATATGCCAATTAGAAGCGCCAGGCGCTTATCCTAGGGTGGCGCTTATATCCGGGGGGTGACGGTATAACACTTGGTATCAGAGCCTAAAGTCCTAGGTCACCCTTGCGTTTCCGGGGTAGTTTGTAGAAGGGGAGCGATAGACTTGGTGGGCTGTTAAGCGGTCGACCCGTGAAATAGACCTGATTATTCCACTCCGACTACGATAGCATTAACGCCTTCACCGAAGTCAGAAAAATCGCGAACCACCCCCTGCCCGTTCGACGAAGCCTGAGGCACATGGAGCAGGCCGAGTTCAACGAGTTCATGCAACAGTTCCGTGCGATGCAGGCCAATTTGCAGGGTATGACTGCAGAGATGGAGCGTCTACGGAAGGAAAACGCCGAACTACACCAAGCGCGTGGTGAAGCGCGCCAGGAGTCGCCTGTCGTGGACGACGCAAGTAGCAGCACTACACCAGATGAGCGGGTCTGGAGCGAGCTGGAAGGCGAGATGGATGCGGACGAAGTGAGGCAGGCGCAGCAGGAACAGTCGCCACAACAGTCGCGTGCAGTACCACCACGTGCAGCAGCGACGACGACAGCGACGCCAGCAGCAACGCCAACGGCCCCGATGGCAGCAACGGCTTTTGTGAAAATCAAGCCGACGAACCCGCCCCGTTTAACCCGAGTGATAAGTTTGTCACTGTTTCTGCGTGGTTGTTCGGTGTGGAGGTGTTCTTTAATGCTGCTATGATTTATGACGATGCCACCCGCATTAATTTCGTAGTTTCACTGCTACGAGGACCTGCGCTGGAGTGGTGGAGGCGAACGCTGCAACACGAAGGGACTTCGGCACGAATAGCACGTGCGAACGACGGGACTTCAACACCTGTCACGCATCAGGCAACACCGATTTTCGGGACGGCCACGATACGCACATGGAAGGAGTGGGGCGCCGCCTTGCGAACCAAATTCGAGCACATATCCGCCTCGGACTCTGCTCGCATGCAGCTGCGTACCTGGAAGCAGCTGACTTCAGTCCAAGACTACACCAGCAAATTCTACAACTTGGCGGACCAAGTGGACGACATGAGCGACGCAGAGCGGTTGGATCGCTACGTGGCGGGCCTGAAATACGAGATACAGTACGAGGTCCGACGAACCCGACCACGCAGCTTCAACGATGCCGTCCGGGAAGCTGAGTCAACGGATGCGCTGATGCAGTGGGCGAGATCGAGCTCCCGGGAGGGCCCTCGATTTCGTGGACAGACTCAGCAGCCCACGATCAACGGCATGGATGCACCTAGCCGAGCCCTTGGGCCGTGCTTTTTATGCAACCAGCTGGGCAACCTGAAAAAATACTGCCCGAGGCTTAAGCAGGGGAAGAAGAACGACGGAGAAGGGTCGGGAAAAGATACGAGTCAGTAGCAGACGGGCCACCTACTGACGAGACCCTGTCGCCCGACAATCACCATCCACACCGGGTCGTGGTACCGATCAGCGCTATCGGCCAGAACCGGACGAATAACGTGGGTGAACACGTGGACTACCCTGTGTTGGTGGTAGGGAGGGTTAACGGTTATAAAATTAAACTCTTCGTTGACGGTGGGGCGAGCCACAGTCTCGTCAACCTGGCAACGGCCAAAAAAATGGGGGTGAAGCTGATCAGGTGTCTACCAGAGATCGATGCAAGGTTGGTGGACGGAACACCGCTGGCCATCCGAGATGAGGCGTGAAAAAATCGGATACAGTGCGGCGACAAATTCGGGTTTGGCATGAGAATGTTGGCGACGACGTTGGACGGCTGCGATGTGCTGCTGGGGAGGGATTGGCTACAGCGCTTCAATCCGACGATCGACTGGACGACTGGGGCGTGCGTCGTGCGAGGATATGGAGGGAAGACGACGCTTCTGAAATGGACGGAGCCGGAGCCGATGACGACACGTGTCAACGCGATCAACATGCAATGTGCGATGAACAGCGGAGCTCAGGCCTTCTTAGTGCACCTGTACGAAGTGGCAGCTTCCGAAAAAATCGCGGACATCGACACCCTCTGCGCGGCAATCCCCGAGGAACTGGCGAGCATTATTCGGACGTATCCCGAAATTTTCGCGGATGACCTCCCAAATGGTTTGCCCCCCCAACGACCTGAGGATCATCGGATCCAGCTGGAGCCCGGCGCGCAACCGACTGTGCGGACACAGTGGCGGCTCAATCAACCAGAACTCGCCGAGTTGCGGGCCCAGCTGGATTACCTACTCGCCAAAGGATTTATCCGGCCCAGCACGTCGCCGTATGCAGCACCAATACTGTTCACGCCGAAGAAGGACGGTGGCCTACGCATGTGCATCGATTATCGGGCGCTGAATCGGGTCACGATAAAGTCGCGTTACCCGATCCCGCGAACCGACAATCTGCTGGATCAACTTCGCGGAGCTCGGTATTTTTCGAAAATCGACCTGCGAGGAGGCTACCACCAAATTCGCGTATTCGCCGACGACTGCCCGAAGACCGCTTTCCGCACACGCTACGGCAGTTACGAGTTCACAGTGATGCCGTTCGGCCTGACAAACGCGCCCTCGACGTTCCAGCTCACCATGAATGGAATTTTTCGGGACATGCTAGACAAGAAGGTCATCGTGTACCTGGACGATATCCTGGTGTACAGCGCGACAAAAGAGGACCATCTGCGGGATTTAGAGGAGGTGTTCCGGCGTTTACAGGGGCATCTGCTAATCACAAAGGGGTCTAAGTGTGAGTTCCTGAAGCCGGAATTAGAGTTTCTGGGGCATGTGGTTTCCGGCGAAGGGATTAAAATCGACCCGCGCAAGGTGGACGCCATCATTAAGTGGAAGCCGCCTACTAATATCCCTGAGTTGCAAAGTTTTCTGGGGTTTGTTAACTATGTTCGTCGTTTTGTACCCAATATGGCAGGGATAACCAAGCCGCCGACCGACCTGCTGCACCACGACAGTGATTTCAGGTGGGGGGAGAGGGAGCAATCCGCCTTCGACGCTCTCAAAAACATTTTGGGTTCACCCCCGGTACTCCGCCTCGCCGATCCATCCCGACCGTTCGAAGTCGTCACGGATGCCAGCGATTTCGCCGTCGGCGCTGTCCTGCTACAGGACTTCGGCCAAGGGCTGCAACCCATCGCCTACGAGTCACGCAAGATGCAACCACCTGAGCGCAACTACCCAGTCCACGACAAAGAAATGCTGGCCATCGTCCATGCATTCCGCGTCTGGCGCTGCTACCTCACAGGAGCCGACGTGACGATTCGGACTGATCATAAATCGCTACAGTACATGCGCACGCAACCGACACTCAACCCGCGACAAATCCGGTGGTTGGACTTCCTCGAATCCAATTTCCGGTACACCATCACGTACAAAAAGGGCGCCAACAACATCGCCGACGCCCTTACCCGACCATCCATGCAAAACGCGGCGGTACTAATCGCCCACACCAACCCGATGCTAACAGGACTACTCACCCACGGCTATAAGATCGACAGGTTTTTTCGGAACCCGCAACAACAGGCTGCTACACCGCACGGCAAATACTACCTAAAAGCCGGTACGAACCGGATTTGGGTACCAGCATACCAGCCTTTACGGGAGCTGCTGACGCAGGAGGTTCACGACTCCAACCTCTCCGGGCATTTCGGCACCGACAAGACACTGAAGCTGTTGCAGCGGAATTACTTCTGGCCGGACATGCAAACCGATGTGCAGCGCTACGTGTCAACTTGCCCGACCTGCCAAGCAATGAAGTCGTCGCGACAAAGGCCAGCCGGTCTGCTGCAACCCCTCGCGCCACCCGAACGACCGTGGCAACAGGTGACGATGGATTTCGTCACGGGGCTCCCAGCTGGCACGAGTGGCAACGACTCGGTATTGGTCGTCGTCGATCGCCTAACGAAGATGGCGCATTTCGCCCCATGCCGAACGACGATCACAGCCGAAGATACAGCCAAATTGTTCATCTCCACCATCGTACGCCTACACGGGTTACCTTCGGCGATCATCAGCGATCGTGATCCGAAATTTACGTCGAAGTTCTGGCAGGAAACGTGGGCACAGTACGGTACCCGCCTGCAGTTTTCGTCGTCATACCACCCGCAAACCGACGGACAGACGGAACGAACAAATCAGACCATGGAACAGCTGATTCGCACCAACTGCCCCGACATTAGCAATTGGGAAGATTCGTTACCGATGCTGGAATTCGCGTACAACAACGCCCCGTCGGCCACGACTAAACAATCACCTTTCTTCCTGAATTACGGGATAGATCCCGTGGTACCCTCTTCAACGACTGTGGACAACCCGGTACCAAGATCGCAGCAGTTTGTCACGGAACTGCAAACCGCCCGAACAAAAGCAGCCGATTTCATTCGCAAAGCTAATACCACGGCCAGTCGCCAGGCGGATAAACACCGACGAAACTTACCCTTCCGCACAGGGCAGGTTGTGCTTCTGGACACCAAGAACCTTCGACTGCCGCAACCCGCGAAATTACGGCCCCGATACGTGGGACCATTCCGTATCATCCAGATGGTGACACCGGTCACCGCGAAGCTGCTGCTGCCCGACGATTGGAAAATCCATGACGCCTTCCACGTCAGCCTGTTGCGTCATTACGACCAGCCGCAGTCGCCAGCTGTTGCTCGCCCAACCATCGCGCCGACCACTCGCCCCGTGGCAGAGCCAACGCTAGAACCTTGGAGGATTCTTAACCATCGCGTGGATGTGACTGCTACCGGCCGCTCGGTGAAATTCCTGCTTCGCTGGAAAGACCGCACGAGCGAGGACGACACGTATGTCGCTGCTGATTCGCTACTGGGACACCTGGTTTTGGACGCTTACCTGGCCCGTCGTGGTGTTTCGGACATTCACCACCTTTCTTAAAGGGGGGGGTAGTGTAAGGAATTTTCCGGATTCCTTACTGGGTCACACTGTACGCGTACAACTCCGACTTTCGGAAAACCAGGCTCGGCCCGCCGACCTCGCCTTCCGAGCCACCACCGCGTCGTTTTCGGGTTTCCAACCCCGAACCTACACCCAACCATCTCGCGACCCCGCGACCTCGGCCTAGCTAACCTTGCTATATTATGCCTAGGCCCCGTTGTTCATGCAGACGTTGTAATCACTTCCGCATTATTGAGTTCTGCGCACTCTTTCCTTTCACAACTTATAACAAGAATCGTCGGAAATACTCAAATTCGATTACTATCAATACTTTTACAATATCACCTGATTACACTTATTTCTTAATGCAACATTCTACAAGCTGGTTGTGACAAGCTGCAGTTTGCGAGCCCGGAAGAACGAGTGCCGTTTCTGCGCGACAGACTCAATACGCACATTCTTCCGTTTGCGCTTGGAAGGAGCAGAGCCAGGGACAGAAGCTGCGGGGCTCGACTGCTTGACCGCCCACGCCTGCCCCTCCTCCTCAGCTTCATCCGCCTCCCTGCAATGAAAAGAAAGCACAGAAAATTCAGCACCAAAAGCTAGCTTCTAGCCAAACGTTTTGACAAAAGACTTCGTTATGTAGCGTAACATATTTGCTTGTGTGCATACCAGTGCACAGGCACGCAAGAGGCGTCCATGATGGTTTTGGCAGTGGCCCAGCTGAAGCGCACGAGGGAGGGGAAGCCAAAGACCGGGTCCACACTGCCCGCCAGCCACGCCTTGGTGGCGGGGTCTGGGGGAAATAGGGGCAGGGAGGGGAAGGGAGGAGAAGGGGGGCCGAAAGGAGCAAGGGGGAAAAGCAGTGACGCAGTTAGGACAGCTGAAGCGCACGAGGGAGGGGAAGCCAAAGACCAGGTCCCCCTTCTCCTTGGTGGCGGGGTCTGGGGGGAAATAGGGGGAGGGAGGGGTTGGAAAGGGGAGAAGCGGAAGGCCAAGGATGAGGTGAAGGGGGGAAGGGGGGTTTGATGAGAAAGAGAGAAGTGGAGGACAAAGGATGGGCAAGAAGAAGGGATAGAGAGAGGCCTGGTGGAGAAACAAGGGGGGCTTCATCCTGCAGTCCACATCGCCTCCCTTCCCATCCCTTCTCATCTTCACTCATTCCTCTTTCCACTCCCTCCCCTCCACAATTCTTCTTGCATCCCCTTCCTCACGCGTTTTTGCCTTTTCCGTCCTCTCCACTCCCCTCCTCTTTCCCCCCCTCACCTCCAGGGTATGACTTCTGAGTCGACTCCAAAGGCATCCCCTTCCTCTCGCCTCTTTGCTCTTCCCATCCTCTCCACTACCCAGCTCTTTCCCCCTCTCACCTCCGGGGTATCCTGAACCCAAATTCAGATTGAACGCTTCTCCTGCCGCTGCTGCTCCTCTTCCGGCTTCTTCAGCTTCTTCAGCTTCTTCTGCTTCTTCTGCTTCTTCTGCTTCTTCTGCTTCCGCTTCTCCTCCCACCGCTGCTGCTGCGTCTGTGATTCCAGCTGCCTGCTCCCCTCCATCTGCACAGTCTTCTCTGTAGCCCTGCTCTTCACCCGGCACTGACACTGCCTCCGGCTGACTCAGAGGACTGCGTTGACTCGGCTGACTGGGTTGACCGGGTTGACTTTGCAGCTGTGAGGGGCGGACCGACGGTGCATCCTCAGAGAAGGCCCACTGCTGGATGCAGCGATCGCGACTCACCTGGTGGGTGCGGGAAGGGAGTGCGGTGTTGACTCGGTTAACCGGGTTGATATTGTTGCTAATAGGCGGGAATAAGCGGTGCATCTTCAGAGAAGGCCCACTGCTGAATGCAGCAATCAAGAGTCACCTGGTGGGCACACGTGCAGTGTGGGTATGACGGTGGGGGGAAGGTGTGCAGGGTTGACTCAGTTGACTGGATTGACTTTGGTGATGGGTGGGGTGGGCCCACAGTACATCTTTAGAGAAGGCCCACTGCTGGATGCAGCGATCACCTGTGGGTGGGGGGAGGGTATAGCAGGGTTGACTTGGTTGACTGGATTGACTTCTGCGTTGGGTGGGGAGATCCCACGGTGCATCCTCGGAGAAAGACCACTGCTGGATGCAACGATCGCGAGTCTCCTGGTCGCCTAACAGCCTAACAGCCTAACAGCCTAACAGCCTAACAGCCTAACAGCCTAACAGCATAATAGCCTAACAGCCTAACAGCCAAACAGCCTAACAGCCTAACAGCCTAACAGCCTAACAGCCTAACAGCGTAACAGCGTAACAGCCTAACAGCCTAACAGCCTAACAGCCTAACAGCCTAACAGCCTAACAGCCTAACAGCCTAAAAGCCTAACAGCGTAACAGCGTAACAGCGTAACAGCCAAACAGCCAAACAGCCTAACAGCCTAACAGCCTAACAGCCTAACACCGTAACAGCGTAACACCGTAACAGCCTAACAGCCTAACAGCGTAACAGCCTAACAGCCTAACAGCGTAACAGCCTAACAGCCTAACAGCATAACAGCGTAACAGCCTAACAGCCTAACAGCCTAACAGCCTAACAGCCTAACAGCGTAACAGCCTAACAGCCTAACAGCCAAACAGCGTAACAGCGTAACAGCCTAACAGCCTAACACCGTAACAGCGTAACAGCGTAACAGCGTAACAGCCTAACAGCCTAACAGCCTAACAGCCTAACAGCCTAACAGCCTAACAGCGTAACAGCGTAACAGCCTAACAGCCTAAAAGCGTAACAGCCTAACAGCCTAACAGCCTAACAGCCTAACAGCCAAACAGCGTAACAGCGTAACAGCCTAACAGCTTAACAGCCTAACAGCCTAACAGCGTAACAGCCTAACTAACAGCGTAACAGCCTAACAGCCTACAAGCGTAACAGCCTAACAGCCTAACAGCCTAACACCGTAACAGCCTAACAGCCTAACAGCCAAACAGCGTAACAGCCTAACAGCCTAACAGCGTAACAGCCTAACAGCCTAACAGCCTAACAGCCTAACAGCGTAACAGCCTAACAGCCTAGCAGTGTAACAGCGTAACATCGTAACAGCGTAACAGCCTAACAGCGTAACAGCCTAACAGCCTAATAGCTTAACAGCCTAACAACCTAACTCCTATCAGCCTCTTATCAGCCTCCTATCAGCATCCTATCAGCCTGCTTTGCCATGGAAGCAGAGGAGGGATGCAAGCACCTCTGTCACACTTTGCAAGCTCACCGGCCCTCGCCTTAGCAGCGATGCTTGCAGCGCTGATGATGGGGAACAGGCTGCCGGAGGCTGTCTTATGAGATGGTTCGAGTATGGTATGGAGGAGGGATGCAAGCACCATGGAGGAGGGATGCAAGCACCATGGAGGAGGGATGCAAGCACCATGGAGGAGGGATGCAAGCACCATGGAGGAGGGATGCAAGCACCATGGAGGAGGGATGCAAGCACCATGGAGGAGGGATGCAAGCACCATGGAGGAGGGATGCAAGCACCATGGAGGAGGGATGCAAGCACCATGGAGGAGGGATGCAAGCACCATGGAGGAGGGATGCAAGCACCATGGAGGAGGGATGCAAGCACCATGGAGGAGGGATGCAAGCACCATGGAGGAGGGATGCAAGCACCATGGAGGAGGGATGCAAGCACCATGGAGGAGGGATGCAAGCACCATGGAGGAGGAATGCAAGCACCATGGAGGAGGGATGCAAGCATCTGCCTGCTTTCACCTTAACGACAATGCTAGCAGCGCTGACCATGGGGAAGAGGCTGTCTGCCTTCTTTGCCACGTGACCCGCACGAAGACAAAGACAGGGAATGCAGCTGACGATGAGGAACAGGCTGATGCAGTTGATGGGGGAGCGATCCAGGCTCATCTGCCCTCACCTTAGCGGCAATGCTAGCAGCGCTGACGATGGGGAACAGGCTGTCAGCCTTCTTTGCCACGATGAACTTCACGTGGGGAAAGCGTTTCTCCAGGCGCTCCTGGTGCTTCTGAGGGTCGCCCAGCGTATCCACGTATGCCTGTGTGTGGGGGTGATCAGAATGGGGAGTGGGCGGGGTGGAATAAGGGAGGGGTGGGGCTCATTGGGGGCCCCTTGTGACCCGCATCTGGGGGAAGCGCTGCTGCAGGTGCTCGTGGTGCGTCTGTGGGTCGCCTAGAGTATCCACGTAGGCCTATGGTGCGGGCGGGGGGGGATGAGAGTGCATGGGGGTTATTATCTCTCTTAGCCGCAGTGAACCACACGCAGGGAAAGCGCTGCTCCAGGCGCTCCTGGTGCTTCTGCGGGTCACCTAGCGTGTCAACGAAAGGCCTGTGGTGGGGGGGGATGAGAGTGGATGGGGTTATCAGCCTTCTTAGCCACAGTGATGCGCATGCAGGGGGAACCGTTGCTTGGGTGATGTCACCTCTTGGCTGCGATGCGAATCCCTTGAGGCTCACTCACACCCTCTGGGGGAACATTACTCCAGACAATTGTGCGCTGTGTGGCACGACCGAAAAGGACGGTCCTGCATGATGGCTTTTGGGCGTGTGGGGGGAACCAGGTCTATCCATGAAGGCCTGTGTGTGGGATGAGGGTAGGGGTCGGGAGGGGTGAAGAATGGTGCCGAGAGGTGAGGATTCATGACCTTTGCTGTCCAGTTTTTTTACTCGGATTGACTGGTCCAGCACGCATTGAATGAGCTTTGCGGTCGACTCAATCTCGTTTCACTCTTCTTGGCTCTGTTTGACTTGGTTTGACTGGGTGGGAGGGACTCACCTCCATGATGTTGACTCCTTGGTCCAGCACGCGCTGAATGAGCTTTGCCGTCGACTCAAAGGCGATCGCGTTCAGACTCGTGCGCTCCCTGCCATGCCATGCCATGCGATGCGATGAGAATACATGGAATGGTGTGGTGGGGCAGGTGGTGAAATGGACTATGGCACTGTGCGTTGTGCGAGGGTTTAGGGTTTAGGGTTTATGGTGCTTTCGAGAGCCATAAAGCCAAGACAGCAACGCATGTGTTTGAGGATTCTCAAAAGTCGAATCGCATGCTTGGTAGCAGCTAAAGGAAAGCCCAAACACATGAGGACAGCAGATCCGGAAATCTACCTGAAACTCGCCTGAAGGACATCGGTGCAAGCACCTGAAAAAACGCCTGAACTTACTTGGAGAGCATTTGGGCAGAGAGCGCAGCAGCACTGATGACGTCAACCTCCCACCCGATCACACTCGCCTCCTCTGCTGCTGCTACCCCTGCCGCTGCCGCTGCTGCGCTGCCTGCCTGTTCTCCTCCACCGTCACTGCTGGCCCCACTCCCAACTTCTGCAGAGTTGCCATCCCCACCTTTCCCATTCCCATCAAGCCCACTCCCACCCTTTCCATCCCCATCACCACCCCCACTAGGTGCCGCGGGGTGTGCCGGGCCCCCCATGGCTCGAAACAGCTGCTCCCGCCTGGCCTCTGTCAGGGTCTTGGAGTCTGAGCGTGGAAGAGGGGGAAACGGGGGGAGGTGGGAGCGAGGCAGAGTGGGGGAGAGGCATGGGGGAGAGGGGGGTTCAGCACCATCAGCAGCAGTGGTGTGTGCAGTAGGAGTGTATACTCCATTACCCCCGATAGCCCTGAAACAGCTGCTCCCGCTGGGCCTCTGTCAGGGTCTTGGAGTCTGCAGGTGAAGGGGGTGAGGGTGTGGGGGGGAGGGTGGGGAGAGGCAAGGAGGGGAAGGCGGAAGGAGAAGAGGCAAGAACGGGCGGGAGACGCAGACGGGACAGGCGGGAGGGGGACGCCAAACCCCACCAAACCCCACCACATCTTCCACCACATCTTCCACCACATCTTCCACCATATCCCACCCAGCGTCACTGTAACTCTACAGCCCTGCCTCCGGACATCTCTCTCCCAATCTGCATTTGAGTCGACTCAACACAAAAGCCCATCAGGTTTCACCAGAACCCACCAACACCCAGCACCCAGCAGCACCCAGCAGCACCAACACCTACCAGCAAAGCCCATCCTTGCCACTCGCTGCTTGCTGCTGGCAGCGCAGTAAGCAACCGCATACACCATGGGCCCTGCACGCCCAGCACAGAGGAAGTAAAGAGGGGAAGAGGGGGGAGGGGAGTGGAGGGGCCTTTGAGTCGACCTGCTGCTGGCAGCACTGTATGCAGCCGCGTACACCATGGGCCCTGCACGCACGGCAGCGGGGGAGGGAGGGGAAGAGGGAGGAATAGGAAAGGCGAGAGGGGCAGTGAAGTGAACACACGTGCACTTCTGAGCTGACATGTCTGCCACGTGCTGACAGCACAGCACGCGCACGCGCACGCGCACAGCACAGCGGAAGGGGGGAAGGATGGGGGAGAGGCGGAAGAAAGGGGATACAGAGCGGGAGGGAGGGCGGACGGAAGTGTGGGAGTGGGGATGCCAGGGATTGTTGCGAGGAGGCGGGGAGAGAGGAAGAACAGAAGGGGGTACCTTTCCGCGATTGGGGCAAGGGATATCCGCGGACGGGGAAAGGAATTTCCGCGATCGGAGCAAGGCATATGCGCGGGCACAAGTTACAACCGGAGCACACTACGACGGATAACGGGGCGAGGTATTACCGAGTACGGGGCCTCGGCCCGCCTCGTCAATCCCCATAATGCACGGCTCGGACCGCCATGCCATGAGGAGGGCGAGATAGCGGGAGAGGGAGGAAAATCTAGCGCGAGGTGACAATGCGCGGAGGAGAGACGCGAGGTTGAAAGTGAGAATGGATGCGCGTGGTATGCGATTTTTGAGATGCCTTAAAAAGGAGACGAGGCGGACGCGTAGCGGGTGATCACGACGAGTGGGCACGAATGGAGGTAGCTTTTGAGTCGACTCAGAAGTGAACGGAGGTAGCCCACGCCAGAGAAAAGGGAGGGAGAAGAGAGGAGAAAGGGAAATGCGGAACACGAGGAAAAACGAAAAACAAACTGACGGCTGTGGGATTTGAACCCACGCCTCTTTCGAGATTGGAGCCTAAATCCAACGCCTTAGACCACTCGGCCAAACCGTCACGTCCTACAAACTTAAAAAACAAGTAATATCATCACTGGTGTAACGTACGTTACCTGCGGACATCTGCTCTAAACATCGGTCCAGTCAGGCGCGTTTTGATAATGAAGGAATTCGCCTTGTGCGGCGTGTGCCGCCTGTCGCACGATCAGGGCCGACCGCACATCTACACCAAGCGACACACGACGGCGCTTGCGACGCTTCTCGACAAGGAGCTTCGTCGCATGGCCGCCCTGGCGACGTGGCTGGAGTCGCACAGTCGGTCGCTAGCCTCCACACAAGAGCAAAGCGCGCAGATAGCGGCGGGGATAGCCGCGCATGGCCACGCGGACGAGAGGCAGAATGGTGCCCACAGCCGCGAGGAGCGACGCGATCGGCGGTCTCTGTCAGGAACGCGCGGCGACGATGGAACCGGCGATAGAGTGGCTATAAAAAGCGGCAGTGATGACGGCGCGAGTGTCGCGTGCGAGGAGAGTCGGAAACGGAGCCGATGGTGCCGGTTCTGCGACGCTGACGTGGCAGAGGATAGCGTGATCGGCGGATGGTGAGCAGCTTCGCATCTCCGACTCCCCGCTGTGACCTCTGCCTCCTAGTACACCTTCCCCAGCTATTCCGATCCACCAGAATCATCGCGGCATTTTCCGCCTCTCACTCGCTAGTAAGATGTCCTGCGCTCTCGCTATAACGCGTATGCGGGTTCTCTCTCTCTCCCCCCGCCCGTCCGTGGTACGTGTGTTAGGCAGCAGTGGGTGCGCCACATCAGCAGCGGGGACCACATGACGTCAGTGAGGGCGTTTTGGGCGGCAAACTGCAGCGGCAGGGGCGTCGTGGCTGCTGATACGATTGCTCGCGCTGCCGCCCTGGCCGCCCGCCTTGCTGCTTCTGCTGTCGCTGCTGCGTCTGCTCCTGCTTCTGCTGCTTCTTATGCGGATGCTGTTAATAGCAATGGGTCGACTGTGCCTGCAGGGGGTGCTGCACAGGCTGCTGCAAGGGATGTTACAGCAGGTGCTGCCGCCAAGAGACGAGCCAAGAAGCAAAGAGGGAGCAACCACGGCGGTGTAGAGATTAAGCAGACCAAAGAGACCTGGCGGACATTCGTGCTTCCCCCTGCTGCCGCCACCGCTGCTGCTGCTGTTGCTCTGCCATCTCCCCCATCCCCTCCTGCTCCCTCACTCCCCCTGGTAACTCCATTGCATGAACCCCCTTGCCCTCCCCTCACTCCCCTACCACACACTAGCACCCCCTACCCTCCCATCCGGACCACTACCACCACCAAACCCATCATTATACCACCGAACTCATCTGCACCGCTTTTAAACCCCTTATCACCCCCGGAGGGCCTCTCCTTGGTCCCGGACTCCTTCTGTTCCATCCTCTGCCCGCCAATCACCAACGCCAAAATCTGGAAGTTTCGGGCTCAACGTGTCGGGGCAGCCTGGGCAGAGCAGCGCCGGGCAGAAATAAAAGCTGCGCAGGCGGCTCGAAGTGCTCTTGCTACCGCCGCTGCTTCTCTGCGGTTTGCCCCCGCTGGCCCACCGATGGGCGGGGATGCTGATGCTGTATCTACCTCTCTAAAAAGTACACCTGAAGCTGCTCCCACTGCTGCTGCTGCTAGTGCCGCTGCTGCTGCTAGTGCAGGTGGTGAGCGCAGTGAAATCGACCAATCAGGGGGTTCCATGTGGCTTCCGAGTTTTGGCCGTGTGTGGCAGAGCGGCCCTCGGCAGGCCAGCAGGAGGGAGTTTGAGGCAGAGAGACGAGCGCAGAGGAGGCGAGGAGGAAGGGAGAGGCAGCACAGGGGAGGGAAGGAGAGACAGCAGAAGGGAGGGGAAGAGAAGCTGCACAAACTACAGGAAGAGCAGCGGAACAAGGGACCGCAGGGAGGAAGGGAGGATGATGAAGCAAAGGAGAGCAAGCACGGGGATGAGCAGCCTGCAGGGTCTGGGGAAGCAATGGCTCAGCTGATGCCGCATGCAGTTCACCCCTTGCCATCACAGCCCTCTCAGAGGCATGATGTCCCTTCAGTGCCTGTTGCTGCACCAAGGGAGGTAGTCCTAGTGGGCTCTTTCAATGCAGCTTCTGGCGTGCAAGCTTTTGAGCTGAGGCCGTATGTTCCAAAGCGCCTCAAACGATGAAATTACCGTATTTCTTGAAACAAGGCGGGTGCTTACGGGGACAGGCCAAAATCAAGGCCCTTGTTCCAAAATGAGGACTAGGGGACCGGGGGATCCCTTGCGCGGAGGGGTTTTGCATTCTGTCCAGGAGATTATGGTACCTACCTGGCAGGTGATGAGTGTGCATACAGAAAGCCCGCAACGGATAGGCTGCTTTGGTGGGAGAGGAAGTATTATCAAACCACCATGGTTGAGATAGGAGAAGAGCGGTTTGCTGTGCTCTCTGCTTTGTGAAACAGTTAGGGCATGTTCCTACGGCCCCTTATCAGGCCAACCTCTTATCAAGCTCGCTTCAAAACACACTGAAAATTTCATAAACCTAAAAACCCTCGCTACTTTACCAGGCAAGGCTGACAAGAGGTTTGCCTGATAAGAGCGTAGGAACATGCCCTTACAACTAGTGGTGCATGTGTGTGTTACAAGTTCTCAGCATTATTGTTTCCTTCAGTGTGTTTTATTACTGGTGCAGTGGTACTTCAGATGTTTTACGATTGAAACCATTCTAGCGCGAAAGATGGTGTATTATAGCGTGGAGCTGTATTAAGGGCGGGTCCAGCACGTACATTATCCGTACATTACAGTTCATCCAGTGCGGTAATATGTAGTGCGTCAAGTTTCAAAACGGTGCAATTTTAAAACTGCTGTGCACCGCCTGATATCTTTTCTCACCTCGACAAGCGTACGCGCTGGACACGCCCTAAACACCGACACAGCAAACAGACGAATCCCGCGATCTCCTCACTTCCCCCGCTTCCCATCATCCCATCCACACCACCTCGTCCCTGATTTCCATTCTCCGCATGGGTGTTTTGAGTTCATTTGTCCGTTCTTGCCTGACCTTCTCGTCACTGTAGCTTCATCTAGCTTCCATCGACATCATTCCACGATCTCCTCGCATATACGAACCCCTCCCGACCAGTAAGGCTTAACACCCAAGCACACCAGGACTGTGACACTTAACTGAGAGTTCAAGGACTCGAGGCGGTTAAACGTTTTTTAGCACGCACAGTTCATGAGAAAAGGGGGCCAATGTGGCGCGGACGCACTACCCCACTGGCGCTGTGGTAGTGTAGGGTCTAGCCAACTGTGTAGAGTGTACAGAAACGGAAATACTGTAGGATTCTATGTACGCGTGCGAACAGAGGTCGATTGGGGCCAATATCATCTGGGAAGACGTCGCCCGAATCCCTCCGAGGACCCCCTTTCGCCCCTGCGGGTTTTCCTCGTTTTCGTTTTCCCTCTGTCGCGTGGCGGGGCACGCGAGGGGCGGGAGCCAGCCTCCCCGCCCGCCCGAAACGACCCACGCCACGCGAGGTGGTCCTCGCTCGAGCTGGCGTTGACCCCGCATGCTCCCCCCGGTCTGCACCAACCCCGCCTGCACCAACCCCCCTGTTCGTCGAGTAAATCCGCCTCCGTCGACGGATTCCGTCTCGACCCGACGGAAAGTGGTGCAGAGAAAAGCGTGGCAGAACGCGCCACAGAACAGCTGACACTGAAATAAAAGCGTATACCTAAACAAATAAATACATAAACTGCAATGGGCAAACTTGATAAGGAATAGGAGGCACAAAAAAAGGGGGCATTCCCTACAATTATCATTAATACGTATATCATCAATCTTACTCTTATTCATGCGCAGGTGCCAGGTAGAACATCTGTCAACGGTTTCGCTACCCGTGCGCCGTAGAGCAAGTAAATATGAACTTAATGAGAAATCATTCTTGTACCACCGGGGCCAGCCTTTCTAGGACGCTGCAGGGACCGACTCGACCGAGTACGAAGACGAAGGGTCAGGCGTTACTTTCACCGACCAGCTCGACGCTGCTTGGTCGAACAGCATTCGCCAAGACCAGCTCATCGAGCACAGCATGCCGAGCAGTGCCCATCGAAGGGTTTCATCGACCACTAATGTGCATTAGCAATGCACGTCGGCGTCGTCGACTGGATCCCGTCGAGCAGAGCCTGCAATAGCATTTTTGTCGTCAACCGTCCAGTCGTTGACATAAAACAAAGTGTTCTTGAAGAGAGTTTGAAAACCAATCATTGCCATAGGTGAATTACCAACCTTTTCAGGTAGTGTAAAAATCATACAATTTGGAAAGCTATAGTTTGTTAAATATGATGCTTTTTTCTGTATTTATTACATAGACAAATATGGACTGTTTGACGGGGTAATAAAATGCAGCTGCCAAACTCTACTACAACAATAACATTGCTTGTGTCGATTGTCCACGTTCACGATATGTATTAACGTATAGTAAAACTCGAGCATTGTTAATTAGTTATGTGATTGTGAGTCTCGATGCTACAAAGAGAAGTGAAACAGGGTGCTG